GTTTTTCCGCGTTCATCCTTGTCCCTTTTAAGCCGTTAATAATAATTTTAATACCGGTCTCGTTTTCGCCAACACACCCAGTTCATTTAGCATTCACCATTTGCCAACATTATCCTTTTCGTCCTTTCAATAGCGCACTAGTGCTCGCTTGCTCATTGCGGCGTGGGGGGGCAACTATGTATGGCGGTGTGTTCACCCCGGCCGAGAGCGCATCCTCGCCGCCGACGTTTCTGCTCCTGCTCCTGATCCTGCCAGCGTCCTGCCAGTGCGCCATCATCCGTTCGCCGCGCGCGACGTTTCACACGCGCAACGCCCGCCTCTCCCGCTCGCAGAAATTTTACAAGTGATTTTAAACATTTTCTAAGCACATTTTAAGGACAATCAAGGATAAAGGACAACAAATCAATGATAAAAAATCATAAACAAATTTATTTTTATACTTAGATTAACATAAAGTGTATTCACGTATAGTATTAATGAGTATATCCTTTGTAAGGAAACCGGAAGTGCAACAAAAGGATATTTTTAGAAGCGTACAACAAGTGTGATGTGATACCGACTTATTTTTGTGATAATAGTGATTATTTTACAAACCGGAAAACCGGAAAATATATTATTAATTAAGTCCAGGTAACATTTCGGCCGTTATCCCGCAGGAGTTGTACAAATTTTTAATCAATTGTCCTGTGGGAAGCATAAAACAAAACTCAACACACCCAACAACAATCTAGGTAATTAATAATATGTTTTATTTACGGGACAAGTCCTTGAATTCTTTCTACCGTAGGGAAAAAATGTTTGAATATTTTACACACACACACTGTATACGTGGATCGAAATTCTCAAATAATTAACGACAGCGTGACCGAGTTTATCAGGACATGTGCAACAATGCACACACGCGTGATAGGTCCTGCCATTGCGGACGCTTCCGCTTTAGTAATGATAATGTGACGAGTGTGAATGTGATTGAATGTGCATGGGCTGGCGCGACGAAGCGGCGTGCGAGTTTAGCCGGGCAGGACGTGTCTGAGTCCTTCGGCGCGCACGTCTCACGCCTCGCCAGGACTCGGGAGTCGGGATCGATCGGCGCTCGCTGGTTCGCATTCGCATTCGCATTCGTGTTTTACGGATACAGGCCTCTGGTATAAGGATTGCTTTTTTCTCGCGGAGTGAACCTACTAGATGTTAGGTTTTAGTTTTTTTTTTTGTTAATCGTTGGGATGCTTGTGGAGTCACGCGTCTTGGTATCGTTGCATCCTGGGAAAAAATCATGACCTGAAAGGTCCTTCAGTTTTTCTTTTTTTTTTTTTTTCTTTTTCTTTTTTTTGCTTTTTAACTTGTACTCTTCATGTCACTTGTGTTGTGAGTCAGAGATTTAAGGACCTGTGCGTTTGCTATTCTGCAAGTCACAATTGTAAGATTTTCCTTAAACATTTTCCGTTTCTATGGATACGAGTAGAATAAAAATCGAAGTGTATTTAAATTACAAAAATTAGAAAAGTATTTTTGTTGATATTTTTCCTTGTAACTTTTGAATTAATTGATCAAAATTGATCAGAAGTAGCTCGTTTAATAGGTTATTAAATTCTTTACCATATTAAAATTTAAACATTATAAAAATCTTGCCGTAAATATATTTTAATCATAGAATAAAAATTAGGTATTTTTAAATCACCAAGATTGGAAAAGTGTTTTTGTTTATATTTTTGCTTGTAACTTTTGCACAAATTGACGTAAGTACTTCATAAATAGCTCATTTTATAGATTATTAAATTCTCTATAACATACATGTTAGAAAATTATAAAAATGTTGCTTAAAATATGTTTTAATTGTTAACAAAGTTGACAGAAAAATTTACTTTTCAATTTTTACAAATTTTCTTTTAAAAAAATCAAAATTTTAAATTTTTTATTAATTGCTTATATGTTGAATAAATTAATAATTAACGTATTTATTAAAAATGTTAATAAAAACATTAATAAATTGCGTAATTATGACGTTAAACATAAATTTTCATAAAAATTTCTTTCACAATTTTTTAAAATCATTTTTCTTGAAATTTTTTCTGTGTAAAAAATTTTATTTTATAAATATAAAAGCTCATAATACCTCCAAATATATAAAAATAAATATACACTATTTTATTCACTAACCAATTACCTTTAAAATCAAAAATAACAAAAAAACAATTATTTTCGCAACTAACTTTTTACAGTTAAATCCAAATTGCCCTCAGTTAACATATTTATCCTCCCACATAAAATTCGTAATAATAAAATAAATCCGCATGCCAAATAATTAAAACTTTAGCTGTTATTTAACTTCAAATTAACAAATACTGCTCATCACGAAATTACTACACCTGCAACATGATGCTTTCAATTAAATTTTAATGAATACTTCACTCCCGTATAAATCCATGCAAATAACGTGTTTATTAGCCGGTTACTAATTAAATTCCACGCAAACAACCTTATTATTAAATTTGTTTATTTCGCTGGTCTATTGTTGGTGGCGTATGAAACCTGAAACATTTGTTTGTATTTTCATTAGATTAGTTGCGCTCCGAAGCTAGACCAATATTGATTTTGCAAACACTTTGCGCTGCAACGCCGCGACGGCTTGAAATATTTCCGATAGAAGCTGAGCATGCGATAACTCTTTAAATTCTGGGTCGTGATAAATTAAACAAGTTTAATTGCAATCGAAGTTTATGGGGGAAATTTGTTGTCGAAGTTGGGAATAATCAGTAATAAACGAATTAGTAATTTGTTTTTGAGTGATTATTTGAAGATTAATCTGGAAATAATTAATTTAGTAAAATGAAATAAATTGTGTTTTATAGAGTATTAAATTTTACATTAAAATCAGTTTATAAATATAAAATATATTAATTATTTATTTAGTTATTAAAGGATAAAGTTAAACATTTATTTTTGTAACTCTGAAAGCATTTTGTTTACATTTTTATTAATAACTTGACTATTTTTAAAGATAATTGCATTATTGAATGGTCACATGAAAGATTATTAAATTATCTTTTATTTGAGTATATAAACATTACTTATAACAATATAGTTCATCGTTTTATTAAACAATAAAACTACATTTCAAAATTTCTTAAATCACACAATATATAAAATGTTTTTGTTTATATTTTAAACAATAGCTATTGCACATGTCTTTAATCAACATTACTTTCTTCTCCATATTATAAACAATTAAATTTTCTACAAATTTTGTTTAAATAATTTTTGCGTGTCTTTAATATCCTGTGAGTTATCCTCTATCAAAATCACAGGTTAAATTTGTGTCACGTTTTTGTTGGATTTTAATACAAAATTCATTAATTCTCCTTTTAATTTTAAAAGGATGTAGACAGAATAAGGACTAATTTAAGATTCGTCCAATTTACATATATCATACGGTTTTCCATTAATTAATATATTTTCAAAACAAAATACTAAGAATTCAAGGACTTGTCAACAAAAACACAAAAAATTCCTACAAAAACATTAATTTTAATTTTGCAGACGTATAAATACATAATGAAGGAAGTCATTCAAACTCAAAACGTAAATTAAATGTCGCGGGATAGAAAGAAGGACGATTTCATTATTATCCTTGACGGAGTAGTCTTAGACAATGCTGAAACCCTCAAATCACGGAGCCAGTCCTGGCTCGTTGCACGACAACGAAGACGCACCTCTTTTACTACCTAGAAAAACCGCACTTGCAGACACACACAAAGAAAAACCATCTGGGGGTGGTATAAGTGCCGGGGGTGGTAGTGATCGGCCGCCCCCACGACGTGCAAGTCATCAACATAATCTACAACAGAATAATTCACAAACGCATAGAACAAGTGCAGGTTGTGCTATTTCGACCGCCACCACGCCGCCCCCGCCTCCGATTGAGAAGAGTCGATCGGTGGGGAGTTCGTTGAAGAACGCTCGGAACGAATCAGCGGCGAATTTAAGGAATTTACAGGCGAAGTGGTCCAGTGTCAGGATCAGGGGTACTGGATTTAAAGATTCAAGGAAGAGCGTTGTTAAAATTGAACAAGGGTGTAACGGCATTCCACAGACGGGCGCCATGACTGCCTCCAAGGATTTTGATAATATTGGAAAAGTTACTTCAGATGTAATTTGTATTTAAATTCGATGTTTTAAGTGTTTTTTATACTTGATGTTGTATAACTCAAAAAGTTATTAAAATTTTTTTATTGTTTTGATTTAATATGATAGGAAATTAAATTGTTTATAAATTTGTTATTATATGGGAGTTTTAATATAAAAATTTAATGAGTTATTTGTCTTTAAAAATGAAGTATCAATTATTTACAATTTTTTTGAAAAACGTTTTTTCTTATAAAATTGTTTATAACATTTTTAAATATTGGCCAAAATTAATAAAAATAAAACAGTTTGAAAGATAATTAAATTTTACATATGCAGTGATAAAAAGGTATTAAGTAATATTAAGAATTCTATTAGTTATTTTAATTTGAAGTTTATGAAAAATGTGAAAATTATGTGGAATCAATCAAAAATGATTTTGTTTATAAATTTCTTTGTAAAAACCGCAAATATTATGATAATTACATAAAAATCTCGTCATTATTAAGCTTATTAAATTCTACATTTACGAGAGTATAAATTTGTAAGCAAGTTATATGAATTCAATTAGTAATTTTTAATTAAAGTTAAGAAAACAAAATCACAATATAAAAAATTTAGAAAAATGATTTTGTTTACAAATTCTTTTATAAAATCCGTAAAAATTAACCTAATTTGATAAAAACTACATCATTACAAAGCCAATTAAAATCTACATAATAATATTCTATCAAAACTACATAAACATTATAAATTCACAGCTTAATCTCAATTTAAAAACAGAACTTCTTTACAATTACTCAAATATTTATTCAATTGATGTTTTTCGTAAAAAATCTTAATTATCCTTTGACTAATTTATTTGTAACATGTTGAAGGTCCTCAACTTGGGCGCTGATGTCCTCCCGGAGTACAAACTGCAGACGCCGTCGATACACAGCTTCACGATACTGCACTATTCGCCTTTCAAGGCCGCCTGGGACTGGCTCATCCTGCTGCTGGTAATGTACACGGCCATCTTCACGCCGTACACAGCCGCCTTTCAGGACTTTGTCGCCAAGAGCAACAAGGCCTACGGCGAGGATCCGTTCGAACTCATCGATCTGATAGGTAATTTCCCCAAGATCCACATGAGATCCAAGAAATCCACTTCTTAAACTCACATCTTCCACACTTGTCTTTTTCACATTTGTTTTTCGATGTTTCGCGACAAAGTGGAGCGGAAAACTAGTTACCATCGATTTCCCAAGTAGGTTTCCGTGGATTACATTTGTGATATCACTTTGACTTCGTACGAAGTTGGCAATACGCTGGTTGTTTACTTGGAAATTGTTTTGATTTTTATTTTATTTTTATTTTTATTTTTATTGGGAATGCAATTTAATGTCAATCCTGTTTTTTTGTGTTATTTTAGTGATATTGTCGTTGTTTTCAAAGATATTTTAGAAAAGAAAACGTCAGTTTATAGGAAATTAAATTTTCTATAAAACAGGTATAACAAGTTTATAAAAGTTTTAATTGAAGTATTAATTAACAGATGTTAAACTTGGAACTTGACAAGAATTCAAGTTTAAATTTGAATTTTTCTTTTCTGTAAAAATTAATTATAAATAAATACAAAAATACCAAGGTAATTACATCATTAAATGCCTAATTAAGTTGTCATTGCTATGAATAAAACAAAAAAATTTTATAAAATAATTTTTGAGTTATGAAGGTTTAAAAAGTTGAGTATTAATTTCATCCGTCTTATATTTTGAAATTTTTGATAAATTCATGAATAATTCAATTTATATAATTAATAACATTTGTGGAAAAACATTATCTTGAAGCCCTTAAAATTCTCTTCAACAATACAAAAAATTATAAGTTTATTCAAAGTTTCCAATGAGTTATTATACTTTGAACTTTAAGTGATTTTTTTACTTAAAAAAACTTGAAAAGTTGAAAAGTTTTTAATAATTCAAAGGATATTATTTTATTCTTTTGCTACAAAACTTTCCTTTTAAGAATCATAAATTATTTGTAACTTATACAGTTGTTAAAAGTTTATTTAAAGTTTTTAATAAGTTATTACATTCCAAACTTTTAAATTTTCGATTTTTATAAAAATTTTAGATTTTTTCCTATTTTTTCTTATTTTGCACTTAAAAATAATAACTTTATTGATAGATTTTTAATAATTCATTACTCTTTGAAGTCTAATATGTTGTTTTCTCAGGTGACAAACATCATATGTGTTTATATATCAAACATAAACATGTATCCTCTCGGTCGTCATAAGTTGAGTTTCAAAAACATAAATATTTACCAAATGCAAATGCGACAGTCTCTTCTGTCGCGAGCTGTCGAGTTATGAATTTATGCGCCCACTTCGTTCGCACTCGGCACGATTATTCGCGCTCATCCGGCCGGAAACGGCGCGGACATAACGACTTCATCTTTCTCCCGCTCTCCGCGAGGCTTTCATTCACTTTTCCGTGTTTTGCCATGTTTCCTCGCGCTTCTATCCTTTTAACTTATGACTGTGTTTCAATATACGCACACAGATGTAGAAAGAGGTAGAGTTGAGTTGTAACTGCGGATATGCTGATTCAGCTGAGGCAGGAAAAACATGGTCGGAGGCGGGTCGAGTTGTGAGTTGGCAGCGTGCCAAATTACGCTCGTTCAATTTGCACATGCTTAGGGAAAGCATCCTGATATTATCAGCTCACTTACAGTTCAATCTGGAAACATAAATTTTCATAAATTGTGATTTCCGTTAGTTTTTTGCTTGTAGAATATTCAATTTACCAGATAATAAAATTATTTAAAATGTACTGGAAAACTGATGAAATTCTTTATAAAATGGTTTTTGTTTGAACAAAATCAGATAATTCAAAATGGAGATATTTTTATTTAAAGTCAAAACTTAAAAAAAATTGTTTAAACAATGTTTAACCATATTTACACACTATATTTTAAAAACAATTATAATGCATCTAAAAGATCAATTAATCCTTAATAAAATACTTTTTATTTCATCAAAATCCGACAATTATTACCGAAGATATTTAACTTTGAAAATAAATTCACAAACCGGAAATTACATTAAAAATACCAAAATAACTGGAAATGTCTTGTATTAAATTTATTTTACTTTTTTAGTGGATGTAACATTTATCGTGGACATACTGATCAATTTCCGTACGACATACGTGAGCGGCACCGACGAAGTCGTCTCACATCCGGTGCGAATCGCCGTCCATTACCTCAAGGGATGGTTCCTCATCGACTTGGTCGCTGCCATCCCCTTTGACCTGCTAATCTACAGCAGCGATACGGACGAGGTAAGTAATACTAAAATAAAACCCCAGAACCCGGAAAAATAATAATCTACATTATACACTATAAAATAGATTACTGATACTAGATACTGGCTTAAAATCACTGTGGAACGTAGTAATACATCTAAAAATTAATGTTTTGAACATAGCTTTTGAATTTGAACTTGAAATAGCCTCTTAAATGTAAAAATTTGCAAACCGGAAAACCGGAAGTAAAAATAAAAACAGCGTAAATCAATGTTTATATTACCTAGATGGATATACATAATAAAAAACAACAAAAATTTGCTTTTTACTAAAAATTTGCTTCAAACCGGAAAAAATAAAAAAGCAAATTTTATGTTGTATGAACTGTTATTTCCTCTGTGTATAGTGTAAATGTTTCAACTTAACCGTAAAATGTATGACAGTGACATGACACACACAACAAGTTGACATAACCTTAAAAAGAAGTCGAAAAAGTGTTTTCACTATTATTTTCTCTCCTTTTTCTCTAGTTGGGCTTGGACAAAGACGAGGTAGATGATAGTTTAGTCAAACACTGCCGATTCAGCCATCGACGCAAGACGAACTCTCACAAAATAAACAAAAAAAAAAGAGAAAACAAAGCAAAAACGATTTTGTGCAATACTAATACTATCGCACTGATTTACACGACACTGAAAAATGACGACAGCCCAATTTTCACTCTTGCTTCTCTGTGCTTTCTGTGTGCTTTCAAAACACTTGTAAGCTTTACGCTCTGCTTGATATTTCTGCATCTTTATTTAGTTTTTTGACACGACTGTGAATTTCTATACAACGACGTCTGTATAATATATATTATATGCAACCCACAATACACGATTTGACAGACGTGGTTGTACTTTGTTTTCGCATGCATTTTATTTCGTTTTGTACATAAACACAAAAGTATTGTGATGTCTGTGCAGTTTATTTGGTTTATTTGCGTTGAAATATTTTTGGAATAGAATTAACACAATTGTTTTCAGACTACTACGCTGATTGGCCTGTTGAAAACCGCTCGTCTGCTGCGATTGGTGCGCGTGGCTAGAAAAATCGATCGGTATTCTGAATATGGCGCTGCTGTTTTGTTATTGTTGATGGCCACGTTTGCACTGATTGCTCATTGGCTTGCTTGTATATGGTAAGTGGTCGTTAAGTAAAGAATACTTACTTAAGTTGATTATTAATTTATTTTTGTTGAAGGTATGCAATTGGTAATGCACAGCGACCATTTTTGAAAATTGGCTGGTTGGACATTTTAGCCAATGATACACAACAGTACTTTATGGCGAATAATACAGGAGGTCCTAGTATAAAAAGCAGATATATTACAGCGCTCTACTTTACCTTTACTTCTTTGACGAGTGTTGGGTTTGGTAATGTTGCACCCAACACTGATTCGGAGAAGATATTCACGATTTGTGTCATGCTAGTTGGATGTGAGTATGATTTTTGATGGTTTTTTGAGTATAATTTGAGTAGTTTTATGGTAACCGGAAAAATAAAACCAGAATATGAAAGGGTGTTAAATTCCCTATAAAATGATGTATGGTAACCAGCGATAACCTAAGTTTTAATATACTTAATTTAGGTTAAAAGTTACACAAATATTTTTATTACAAAAATGTGAAATTTTTAATAATTTTACGATATCTTAAAAGTTTATTGAGATAATAACACCAAATAAACGTTAAATTATACTCAGTTAAACTCTAAATATAATAACATTTTGATTTTGTTTATTAGTCCTTTTTTTTCATATTAAAATTAAAGCCAAAACTCACAAATTATAGAAATAAACGTTTTTAATTGATTTTTCTTAGTTATTTCATAATAACTTTAGTAATATTTTGGTAACCAAAATAAAAATAACTAAAATTAGTAAAGCATTAAATTCTCATTAAAACGATATATGGTTACCAACGGTTACCACATTTTAACTCAATATAATCCACACCAAAAGTAACCAACAACAATTTTCTTCTTACAAAACTTTTTTTTCTTATTTACTAATTTTTATTCTCATATTCTTTCAGCTCTAATGTACGCCAGTATATTCGGTAACGTTTCCGCCATAATTCAACGCTTATACTCTGGCACAGCCCGCTATCACACGCAAATGCTGCGCGTGCGCGAATTCATCCGTTTCCACCAAATCCCCAACCCGCTACGCCAACGCCTCGAAGAATACTTCCAGCACGCATGGACGTACACCAACGGTATCGACATGAACAGCGTGCTCAAAGGCTTCCCCGAATGCCTGCAAGCAGACATCTGCCTCCATCTCAACCGCAACCTTCTACAAAACTGCTCCGTCTTCGACGGCGCCAGCCCAGGCTGTCTGCGTGCGCTCACGCTCAAGTTCAAAACCACTCACGCACCACCGGGTGATACACTTGTCCATCGCGGTGATGTCATCACTTCACTCTACTTCATCTCACGAGGATCCATTGAAATCCTGCGTGATGATATCGTCATGGCTATTTTGGGAAAGTTTGATATTTTTGGAGAGAATCCATGCGCGAGTCTTACACTGGGTAAATCTAGTTGTAATGTGAGGGCGTTGACGTACTGTGATCTGCATAAGATACATCGTGATGATTTGTTGGATGTGTTGGAGTTGTATCCGGAGTTCTATACGCATTTTATGCACAATTTGGAGATTACGTTCAATTTGCGTGATGATGAGCAGGCGGGAGTTGTGCCTAAGGCGCGATTCTTCACCAGGACAAATTCGGCTGATAGGGAGAGGGCGTCGTATGTTATGAGGAATAATAATTTCCAGACAAGGTCAAATGGGCATTCAAGTCGGGGAAATTCTGTTAATGGCGGCAGGCAGGAATCACAATGTAGTGAGGAGTCAGAATCCGGTAAGTACAGTTTTACTTTTTGATAAATTCAGTATTACATAAATAGTTTATTGGTAACGGGCAAAAAATTTAGCAGTGCTTATTGACTATTACATTTTGAATAAAATGGCGTATGGTAACTAGTGGTTACCAAAATGCTTCTATATTTAATAGGTATTTGAAGTTAGAAGAAATTTTTTTGCTTAAATTTGTTCTTTTTGTGAGAATTTTGTTAATAACTTTTGATATTGCATTGATACGATAACAAAACAAAAACAAATCAATTGGTTATTAAATTTCGAATAAAATGACATATTGCAACCTGCGGTTACTAAAATTTGTCTACACTTAATCGCCCTTTAGTAACAGTACTGAAAAATAATGTGTTGAGTTATTATTGTTTGTATTTCTTTTATAACTTTTGCAATTTTATGGATAGCATTCCAAATTTAACAGAACATAATAGATTATTAAATTTCCAATAAATTGATGTATAATAATCAGTTGTTACCAACATTTTGCTATTTTTATTAGACTTTTAAAAATATAGAAAGATTTTGAACTTTAAACTTGCTTTTTGTTACTATTTTGTTAATAGCTTTTGCAATTTTTGTAACACGTTAACAAAACTAACAAAATTTGATTAACTATTAAATTTTTAATAAATGTATATATGGTAACAAGATGTTACCAAAGTTTTTGTACATTTAATAAGCCCTCAAAGTTTACAATATTTTTTAACATAATTTTATCATTTCCAGGACATGGGATTCTAGAGTTTTCAACAGAAAAAGCCGGTCAGGACGTCACCCCTATAAACCTAGACTTTGGCGAAGAAAAAAGACGCTCCACTACATTGAATTCCATAACTGGTAAGTCTCTACCCCCTGTAAACCCAATTCTACAAACCTTTTTAAATGCAAACTGTATGCTACCTAAATTAACTGAAATCTAGTAGCAGTATTCTACGTAAATCTTTTCTAATTCTTCTCATAACCTCTCAACCCCTTTGATGATGATAATTTTTAATTAATGCCCTTGTGATTTGACCCCGATAGACCCTTTGCTCAACATGTGAGAACCATGCGTGGAACCATGACATGTGTAAATACTTACCGTAGAAGTTACTTAAACTTAAGTCTTGTCTAATTACGAATCAGGCATGAACAACGCCCTTGAAACGTCCTTGAAAAATCATTAATAAACATTTCATTATTGCTAACGCCTTTATTAGATAATTATAACAAAAAAAACTGCAAAAAAACAAAATTTTTGATTTTTGATTTTTGACAGATTTACGACGAAAAAAATCGAAAAATTTAAACATTTGAAAACATTTCGTAAACAAATGATTGAAACCAACTTATGTTTAGGCATGCTTTCACAACTCAAACGCAGCATCCCAGACTTACGGTTACACAAAACGCATCAGCCGCTCATCGGTAAGTTAGACGTGTTGTGTTCGCAAGAAAAAATTCAACAAAATGGCCGCCAGATCATATCCAAACTCACCTCAAATTGAATGTTGTACATATTAAATATCTAAACACACACACTCTACGTGTGTGTATTGAGTTGCATAAGTAAGGATTATGCTGCATGCGCTTGGAGAGCCCTAAAATTGAGGTTATGTTATACTCTAAGTGTTGTATTCAATGTTAACTTGATGTTTAGAATAATTAGTCTTGATTGTGATGATAATTGTAGCGCAATCAACGCCGCCATCACAACATCGCATCAAAACCATCCGCCGACAGTCGTCGATCGGCGCGTACCACCACGAGCCAACACCCGCCCCCGTCCAACAAGCGCATGCCGCATCACAGCCGCCGCCATCAACACATCCGGCGCCCTTGTCGAGCAGTACTAGTTACTACACAAACAGTCCTAGTCCACCGCAAGGGGAGCCAATCATGTTCACCGCTGGTATTGCACCACAATCGGGCGATGATTATGTCATGGTGACGAGTTGTTTGGGCGGTGGTGGGGCGCATGAGGCGCATACACATTCCAGCGACATTGTGGTTTTAAGCCGGGCGCAGTATGATGTGATGAATGGGCGGCTTGAGACGCTCATGCGCAAAGTGGACGGGTTGGAGCGTGGCCTTGCGCAGGATGTGCGCACTATTCTCGGGTATATGCAGCAGAGGGATGCGTCGACTTTTTCGAGGGATAGTAACAAACTAGAGGTATGCATAGATTAGTTAGAGGTTATAGGGTTGAGGTTATGTTGTGTGTGTGTGGGTTTTGTAGGTGCCTGATTATGAGAACGTGACGATAGATGCGACGCGCACGCGCTTTACGTTCCAGCGGTCTGTTAGCGAGCCGAAACCGATCTCGTCCAAGGCGCAGCAACAACAGACCGCACAACAATCACAACCATTACATAGGTAGGTCTTAGAAACGTCGTATTCTTACTGGTAATTTTAAAATATTGAATGTTTTTGTTTTTTGTTGATATCTTTAAAAGTATTAGGGGTAGAACAACAAATTAGACATTGTTGTATTCGGAATTAAATATTTGATGATATAGATTATTTAAATCTTTAAAATTTATATATTATATTTGGTTTAATTAATGGTAAAGTTAAAAGTTTTTGAGGAATTGTGTTTTCGTTAAGTAAAAAAACATATTTTAGTTATTTGTTAATAACTTTTGCAATTTTGTGGTAACTGTTATGTAAATTATATTAATTAGTAAAGGATAAAATTGTGAATAATTCTATGTATGGTAACATTAGGTTACCAATCGTTTTCTATAAATAAAATGGCGATAAAGTCAAAAACAAATTTTTAATATTTTTAGTCCTTTTTTGGTTTTTTATTAATAACAATTAAACGAATAACGATACACAAATAATTCAAAAACCAATAGAATCATGAATAAATTCTACATCTTACGAAATTTTAGTTTTTTAAAATATAATAATAATTAACAATAATATTTGCATTAAAACTTAAACTTCATTTTTGTGGCAATTCTTGCAGATTTGCATCGTTTAATAGAGCATTCGACATCGAGCGTGCCTCATCCGAGACGTCCGGATGGACGGAGACACAATTCCGCGACAAGCCACCGCCGCCACCGCTCGCACCAACCGCCGTGTCGCTGCCGCCGCCCGCCGAAGAAGAGAAAACCGCGCCGATCGCCAAGCTCGAATCGCTCGACGAGCTCGACCTTGTCGGCGTCTCAACGCCGCCCGACGCCCCCGACGCGTAACCAAAACAACAACAATTCAGTATTCTGAATGCCCGCATAAATCGCATATAAATATAAACTTGTAAAAACATAGCTGAAGAAAAACTTATGCGTATACATTGATATTTAGCCTTTGACAGCAGTCAAAAGCTTTGCAAATCAAACCAAAAAGAAGACAAGAAGAAAAAAAACTTAACGATAAAAGCTTTTTCACTTAGAAATTAAAAAAACTTGAGAAAAAAACGAAAAAAGAAAATATTGTTAAAACGTCCGCCTGTTTATTTTGTAAAGTTGTTGAGAATTTGTTGAGTTAGTAACGAATGAGTTTAGAAGAATCAATTTTGCGAATCGTGGACCCTTCGATGAGACTTAAATTAAACGCGCATATCAAAGGCAATTTACTTAAACGATTAAGCTGAACAATATGAGGAATAATTCACACTGAGATTCTTTGACTTACGAATACATACTTCAGTTGTTCGATTGCTGCACAGAATGTTGTTTCACTTGAGCATTGAAAAAAAAATCTTTTTCGCCTGTGGTGCACGCAATTTCTTCGTTTTCGTTTCCCTAGCGTTAAGAAGACAACATTAAGAAAAACACTTTTGACACTAATAATTACTAAGAGCTTTCACTTTCATTACGAGTACGACTACGACGACATTGTTGACATTGAATTCAAGGTTTGTTTATAAATACACCCTGGAGATTATTTCGATAATATTCGATTGTAGCGATAATAGTTTAGGTGTTTAAGTTGTAGGTTTTAAGAGAGATTAGTTGATTCGTTGACGACTCTTTGACGAGCTGTGTTCGGTTTTTATTCGTTGTGATTCGTTGCGAGGTGGTTGACACGGATTTATAAATATTTATTATATATATATTATATATTGTAATATTATATTATTATTAATAACGAAATACCAAAACGATACCAGAAACAAATATTATTAATAAAGCAAATGAGAACTGTTAAGCTTGATTCAGGATGATGAGGCGCAATAAAAGTGATACCATGATTACAATTGATATGTTTTCGTTGTTTAATTTTAATCTAAGAAAAATTAAAATTACAAAAAACTAAAAGAACTAATTCCTCAAACAGTTTTCCTGTTAGGTACTACATAAATACAAAAAATATTCAATATTAGTTTTTCCCCCGACTTCGTCCCGGTAGTGTTTAATAAAAATGTAATTCATTTTTACTCTCTTGTTCTAGACATAGTATGTGTCAATTCTATCAATAAGATTCGCTATTTTATTTTAAAGAAGTTAATTATATAAAGAATTGCTAATAATGCACTTTAGCGCGCCATCTCGGATTCAACTATTTAACTATACCTATGATTGAATTTCAATGCCAACTTTTATCCTATAGAAAAGTGCTGTTTTAGAGCTTTCCCGGCAATTATTCAAATTTTTCTCACCGTAAAAACCATCTTTGGACTTAAACAAACATTTTAAAAAAAGAATTAGCCAAATTGGTTTAGGCGTTGTTGAGTTATGCGCTTACAAACACATTTTGCGAGTTATTTTTATATTATAAAGAAATGAAAAATGCTAAGGATACATTTGAGCGCCATCTCTGATTCAATCATTTATCTATACTAGTGATGGAATATCTATAACAATTTTTATCCTTTATTTAACACATTTTATGGTTGGAAATATTTATAATATTTTAATTCAAAAAATCAGAAAACACCAAAGTCATATCACGGTTATAAACCTTGTATATGGTCATAGATATAAAAATGTAAAACATTCATATCATTATGTTTTACATCGTTTAAAAATCACAAAATCCCTAATAGGGTAATAACATCAATCATATCAATAAATAATTTTTATTTCTCATGCTTCGCTGATTATATATTCTATAAATATAATCGAAAAACACCTACGAACATAACTTAAGGTATTAAATCATTTTCCATCCAAGCGATTTTTCGGTATAAATACTGTATCACATAAACCACTCTCCATAGTTTTGCCAAAAACAAACAACCACAGCACCAACCATCAACATGAAGTTTGCAATTTTTGCTTTTTTCCTGGCCATGATCACCATTGCTCAGGGGTACATGTACCCTAGTTATGGCTCCGCATATTATCCTGGCTATTACTATCGCAAGAGCGCCTCCGGTGAAAATGTCTACGACTACAACAATTCTCTAGGAGACAAATGTGTTTGCACCGCGGCAGCTCCACAAAATGGTAATGTAGACATAAAATTCGAGTTGTTTTTAATTTTGTGATTTGTATTTTTTTTATCTAGGATGTTGATTAGGATGTCAGGTCACATGGTTTTAATTAGTCCTTTAATTCTTTAGAGACTAATCTAAAACTTTGCAATAAATAAATAACACTTAAACAAGTCTTATCAATTTTGCGCAATAAATAAATACCTATTTTAGATTAATTTAAAGAGAGAAAACAAATAAGTCAAGGACATAAAGTCAATCAAGGTAATTACCTGAATGGTAGATTATCTTTTTTTATTTTTGTTGCGTAGGCAACCAAATTTAAGATTACAAATAATTTTTTTTATTTCCACCTATACAGCACCAGTTTTTCCTCGGTTTTTTGACACAAAAAGTCATATTTTATATACAGATGGTCAAGCCGTAAGTAATATCCATTATCTACGGGCATTATCTACGGGACGGAGCTTGCGCCTGCGCATTTGCCTACGTAGCAGCACAAGACCGTATGAAATGCCATGCGACGTAAGTCAAACACGTCAAAGCCGGCGCTGATGTTGCTTGTATTGACATGGCATTTATAACCTTACATTTAAAATACAAAAGTTGAAATACAAAAAACTCAACGTAGAACTAGAGTGAAAGTAGAAAAAATATCGTAAGCTTCACGTGGTTAAACGTTGTTATACACTCGATTTATTATACACTCGCTTTCAATCAATCTCGTGAGTAAAGTCCCCATTTAGCCACTTGATACTTAATACACTATTTTATCAGTTTTAACATAATTCTCCTCAAAATAATACAATTTAACAATAACAGCACAAAAATCAACGCCATTAAAGTGAAAAAAGTATTAAACAATAAACTATACTCTTCTTGAGTTAAAACAATATCATTAGGCCCATGTCTTAATGTACTCAAATTACAATTAATAAATTTATCTGATTTGATACCTTTTCTTACTTCTGCTGATTCAATATACGCACAATTAAACCAATCTTTCTCTCCATGTTTATCTAAATATGAAATATGAAAGTCTCGTTGAGAGTTTGCGAAACATACCTCTTGCAATAATAATTTCTTTCCATACAGTCTCCGCACAGATGATTCACAAAAATCCAACTCTTTTAATTTAGGCAAATCAAGTATCAAATGAGTCAGTTCTACGTTTGTAAGACTTAGATTTTCCAGAGTATCTGAGCTAATATCCACCATTTCCATATAAGAATTGTCAGATAAATTTAAACTGATCAGATGTGGTAAAGTATCTCCGGAAAATTTTACTTCTTCGAATGTGTTTCCCGCCAGATTGATACTAATTAGATTCGGAAGGTGTGCAAAGTTAATGTCTTCAAAATCCGAAAACGAGTTGTACGATACGTCGAGGTATTCTAATTTGTTTACGGTTATATTCAATTTATTTAATAAGTTGTCCTTAACTGATAAAGTTTTCAAATTTGAAAAGTCCTCAAAGAAGTCATATGAAATAACAAAGAACATGATATCGCTGGAAATGTTGATTGTGGTGATTGATTTATACTGGTCCGGATATAGATTCACTCGTTTTACATTGTCTATGTAAAGTGTGTCGGAGTATGGTTCAGAAGACACGTGATTGACAATCAACACAAGCGTCATCAATGCCCAAATTATTTTTGGATTCATTGTTGTTGAGGTTCTTTAATATTAATTAGTAATTAGTAATTAAGTACAAGTAAGTTAAGGTTATGTTATATTACTTACTTTAAATAATGGGGTATATTGTCACTAAGCGTTAGCAAAACACACCTTAGACTAAACATTTTGGAGTTTGAGTTTGAGTTTGATTAAACAAGTTTCACCGTTTATCAGGTAAATAGTTGATAAAAAGTTTAAGATATGTTATCATGGAGTTTTATTGAAGAGGGAAAAATGACTAAGTTCATTGATTTTCTTAGAATCGTTAATATCTATAATATAAAAATAAATCACAAAATCTGTTGGTAAGCGCATAACTCAACAACGCCTAAGTCAAATTAGCTAATTCTTTTATTAAAATGTTTGTTTAAATCCAAGGATGGTTTTCACGGAGAGAAAATTCGAATAATTGTCGAGAAAACCATAAAGACAGCTCTTTCCTATAGGATAAAAGTTCGGATTGTAATTCAATCATAGTTATAGTTAAATAGTTGAATCCGAGATGGCGCGCTGAAGTGCATTATTAGTAATTCTTTATATAATTAATTTATTTAAAATAAAATTAAAGTAAAAATAAGATGAAGTGTCTGTAAATTGATGATAATTACTATAGGGATAGTAATAGAGCTCAAATCATATGAAATAAGTTAAATTATGTTAAAATAATAGATTAATTAGAATATCCTTTACTTTTATTATTTTAAATAAATTTTGCATGACGCATTTCAAGCGTAAAATGAGATAAAACGGACGTGAGTTGACAAAAGCTCTGCTACGATAGCCAATGTTATTGCAACGACGATGAGATAATCACGTGGGAATATTTTTAGTTGAAACAGACATTCGAGCGACATCTCGGAAATATTTTAAGAGTACAGTTTGAAATCGTTTGCTTATGTTATTGAATCGCACAATTGATTAGTAGCCGTACAAAGAATTGAATGGCGAGGCAACCATGTAATTATTATAAAATTGAACACATGAAATTTAACATACATACTACATAGTAATGGATTATAGAATACATAAAATCTGTTGATATATCATAAAATAAAAATATTGAAAGCATGGTGTCAAAAACACCATGTATCTCGAAAATTATTTGACTTTTTTGAAATTTCGTATCTACATGTTAAAGTTGAAAAGTTTCTCTACAGGATTAATACCTTTTCAATTTTCTTCCCCTTCCAAAAGTGTCCTAAAATGCCCTTTAAAAATTTACATGTTTCAAAAAAATGGAAAACACGATGTAGAAAATACCCTGTATTTCGAGAACTATTTGACGTTTTTCTAGTTTCTTATCACCATGTTGCAGTTCGAAAGCCTCTGTACAGGATGCATACCTTTTCAATCTTCTAGCCCTTCGGGAAGTGCCCTAAAATATCCATTAAAAATTGGCATTTTTCAAGAAAATTAAAAATATGTTGTGAAAAACACCCTGTATTCCGTGAACTAAGTGACTTTTTTAAAGTTTCCTACCGCCATATTAAAGTATGAGAGTTCTTTTATACGATGCATACTATTTCAATCTTCTAGCCCTTCCGAAATTACCCTAAAACTCCCATTAAAAAGTGGCATTTAAAAAAAATTGAAAACATGGTGTGAAAAACACTCTGTATCTCGTGAACTAATTGACTTTTTTAGAATTTATCACCGTCATTCAAGAGTTCCTCAACACAATTCATATCTTCTCAATCTTTCAGCCCTTCCAGAAGTGCCTTAAAATGCCCTTTAAAAATTGACATTTTTGAAAAAAAATTAAAATCTGGTGTGCAAAACACTCTGTATCTCATGAATTAATTGACTTTTTCAGAATTTCTCACCGCCAAATTAAGGTTCGAGAGTTTCTCTATACTATGCATCCTGCCTTAATCTTCCAGCCCTTTCGGAAGTGCCGTAAAACTCCCATTAAAAACTGGCATTTATTAAAAAAATTAAAAACATGGTGTGAAAAACACTCTGTATCTCATGAGCTAATTGACCTTTTTAGAATTTATCACCGTCATTTTAAAGCTCAAGAGTTCCTCTATACAATTTATATTTTCCCAATCTTCCAGCCCTTCCGGAAGTGCCATAAAATGCCCTTTAAAAATTGGCATTTTTCAAAAAAATTTAAAACTTGGTGAGCAAAACACTCTGTATCTAAGGAATTAATTGACTTTTTTTAAATTTATCACCGCCATATTAAAGTTCGAGAGTTCCTCTACACTATGCATCCCTTTTTAATCTTCCAGCCCTTTTGAAAGTGCCTCAAAATGCCTTTTGAAAATTGGCATTTTTCAAAAAATTAAAACGTGGTGTGCAAAACACTCTGTATCTTGTGAATTAATTAACTTTTTTAAATATTTCACCGCCATCTTAAAGTTCGAGAATCTTTCTTCGCGATCCATATATTTTTAACCCCTTAGCTCTTTTAGAAGCTATTTTGCTATTTTGTCCCAAAATTTCATTTTTGTGTCGAATAACAGGGTCGAACTTTTTTGTAAAAATTTTTTCGGTCGAACAACAGGATCGAACTTTTTTGTTAAAATTTTTTTTCGGGCCAAAAAAACAGGGTCAAATTTTTATCTTAAATTTTGTTTGGTCGAATAACAGAGTCGATCCTTTTTCTTATTTTTTTAGTTGAAACATTAAATTAAAATAAAAATAAAAATTACAAAGTTTTTTTAGTTAATTATACAATTTAAACAACTTTTTACCTAATAGCAGTAAAGAATTTTCCTGTAATCCTCATTAAGTGAAATATGCACTCGCATCGAGACTTAAAAGTCAATTATCTCAGGAATTAATAGAGATAAACAAAAACCAAAAACACCCCGATGTTCAGCATCAAATCCTAGATAAGATAACATTAAAAAAATTTGAAATATAACATGTGTCTAAAAAACTTTCCGCCTCGATTTTCTCGGAAAATAATAATGATAGAAAAGAACTTTCTTCATTTTATTCATGCCGTGGTGAGGATCTATAAAATGGCAGATTTAGTTTTTCCATTTTCCAAAGTTGACCAAAGACCACTCAAAAACATCAAGAGGTTACACTTGACTCTTTTTGGACTCAAAAAAATTTTTTTAAGCTAGAAGGAAATGGAAAACGCTAATCGATTGAGTTTTCCATGGGGATGAAAGATATCAAGTCAGTTTTCCGATAGCATCATTATTTCGGAAAATAGGTTTTTCCGAAACAGTTTTTTGCACTTAAAAGGGCAAAATTTTGATTTTTTCGGAAAACTGACTTGATATCTTTCATCCCCTTGGAAAACTCAATCGATTAGCGTTTTCCATTTTCTTCAAGCTTAAAAAAAATTTTTTGGGTCCAAAAAGAGTCAAGTGTAACCTCTTGATGTTTTTGAGTGGTGTTTGGTCAACTTTGGAAAATGGAAAAACTAAATCTGCCATTTTATAGATCCTTACCACGGCATGACTAAAATGAAGAAAGTTCTTTTCTATCATTATTATTTTCCAAGAAAATCGAGGCGGAAAGTTTTTTAGACACATGTTATATTTCAAATTTTTTTAATGTTATCTTATCTAGGATTTGATGCTGAACATCGGGGTGTTTTTGGTTTTTGTTTATCTCTATTAATTCCTGAGATAATTGACTTTTAAGTCTCGATGCGAGTGCATATTTCACTTAATGAGGATTACAGGAAAATTCTTTACTGCTATTAGGTAAAAAGTTGTTTAAATTGTATAATTAACTAAAAAAACTTTGTAATTTTTATTTTTATTTTAATTTAATGTTTCAACTAAAAAAATAAGAAAAAGGATCGACTCTGTTATTCGACCAAACAAAATTTAAGATAAAAATTTGACCCTGTTTTTTTGGCCCGAAAAAAAATGTTAACAAAATAGTTCGATCCTGTTGTTCAACCAAAAAAAATTTTACAAAAAAGTTCGACCCTGTTATTCGACACAAAAATGAAATTTTTGGGACAAAAATAGCAATTTTTGAAGTGCATTTTGGGGCACTTCTAAAAGAGCTAAGGGGTTAAAAATATATGGATCGCGAAGAAAGATTCTCCAACTTTAAGATGGCGGTGAAATATTTAAAAAAAGTTAATTAATTCACAAGATACAGAGTGTTTTGCACACCACGTTTTTAATTTTTTTGAAAAATGCCAATTTTCAAAAAGCATTTTAGGGCACTTCCGAATGGGCTGAAAAATTAAAGAGGGATGCACAGTGTAGAGAAACTCCCGAACTTTAATATGGCGGTAAGATATTTCAAAAAAGTAAATTAATTCACGAGATACAGAGTGTTTTGCACACCATGTTTTCAATTTTTTTGAAAAATGCCAATTTTTAAAAGGTATTTTAGGGCACTTCCAAAAGGGTTAGAAGACTGAAAAGAAATGCATTGTGTAGGTAGACTTTTAAACTTTAAAATCGGTGTGACAAACTTGAAAAAATTTTATTAGTTCGCGAGATACAGGGTGTTTTGCACGCCATGCTTTTAATTTTTTTGAAAAATGTCAATTTTTAAAGGGCATTTTAGGGCACTTTCGGAAGGGCTAGAAGATTGAAATAGTATGCGTCGTGTCGAAGAAGTCTCATACTTTAATATGGCGGTAGGAAGCTTTAAAAATGTCAATTAGTTTACGGGATTCAGGGTGTCTTTCACAACATGTTTTCAATTTTCTTGAAAAATGCCAATTTTTAATGGAAGTTTTAGCGCACTTCCGGAAGGGCTAGAAGATTGGAAAGGTATGCGTCTAGTAGAGTCAAAAAAAAAGAGTCAAAAAGTCAAATAATTCTGGTGATATAGGGTGTTTTCCACACTATATTTTCAATTTTTTTAAAGAATGCCAATTTTTCAAGGCTTTTTCAGGGTACTTTTGGAAGGGCTAGGAAATTGAAAAGGTATGCATCGTGTAGAGAGACTTACGAACTTTAATGTGATGGTTCAAAACTCTAAAAAAGTCAATTAGTTCGCCTGGTCCTGGGTGTTTTCTACACCATGCTTTCATATTTTCGAAAAATGCTAAGTTTTAAGTTTAAGGCATTTTAGGACACTTCCGGACGGACTAGAAAATTGAAAAGGTATGCATCCTGCAGAGAGGTTTTCGTGGCGCTAAGAAACTACAAAAAAAGTCAAGTAGGTTTCTAGATACAGAGTGTTTTTCACACCATGTTTTCATTTCTTTTGATAAATGTCAATTTCTAAAGGGCATTTTAGGAATAGGACACTTTCAGAAGGGTTAGAAAAGTGAATAGGTATGCATCTTGTAAAGAGTTTCAAATTTTAACCCGACGATAAGAAACTACAAAAAAGTCTAATAGTTTTTGAGATACAGGGTGTTTTCGACACCATGTTTTCAATGTTTTATTTTATTTTATGATAAACAAACGATATCAAACTATACTTTTAAAATATCGCTAAATATCTTCAACTAAAAATATTCATGATACACGTGGTACACAATTATAAACACAAATCATAGTTTTCTTTCACCTCTTTTCTGCCACTAGCTACGCATGGTTTGATAACGTATCGACGTACGCTGGTTCGTGTCCATAGCAAGATTGAGACAATTTGTTTAACATGACGTTCCTGTGTTTCTATACTTCGTGATTATTATTTATTTATTGTTTCGTGTTTCTTTGAATTTTTTTCCGGCGGTGTCCAATGCCACGTAAAGATTTAAACAAACGAGTACTAATAAAATAGTGGCGCCCTCTACCGGCGAATGTTCTGTTCCCCACACCGAGACCATTCGTTTAACCTGACGTTCAGTTTCTTGTCTTGATAATGTCACAAAAAAGTTTTGTCATTATCAAAGTTTATATTTGAAAGCATATGGAGCGCTCTATGCATGTTTGAAACGGTCTATTGTGGTAATGTATCTTGTCGACAGAGTACGCGAGTATGCACTATTTCTTTAGATTTCGAATAAAAATAGCTAGATGGTGTCAAGAGAAAAGAAGACGTCGAAAAGAGGAAAGGTAGGAGTACCAACGAAGTCAAAATCTGTTGGTAAGCGCATAACTCAACAACGCCTAGACCAATTTGGCTAATTCTTTTTTTTAAATGTTTGTTAAAGTCTAAGAATGGTTTTTACGGTGAGAAAAATTTGAATAATTGCCGAGAAAACCTAAAGACAGCCTTTTTCTATAGGATAAAACTTGGCATTGAGATTCAATCATAGTTATAGTTAAATGGTTGAATCCGAGATGGCGCGCTGAAGTGCACTATTAGCAATTCTTTATATAATTAATTTGTTTAAAATAAAATTGCGAACCTTATTGATAGAATTGACACATACTCGTACTATGTCAATAACAAGAGAATAAAAACGACTTACAGTTTTATTAAACCCTCCCGGGACAAAATTGCGGGCAAAAGCTAGTTAGAATATAATCTTTGAGTTAACCTTCCTTGTTTTGGAGCCTAATAATCATTTAGTTAGTGATAAACAAAAAATCAAATCATTTTAAAGATTTTCAACTTTATTGCTTCTTCAATCATTCATTTTTTGTATAAAATTCGAGGTGGTTCTTCGTACAAATATTCTTAAAAAACTAGACAACAAACAACAACAATTAAGTAAATAGAAACAAAACATAAATAACTAAAGCTAAATAATTACATTAATTACATTAATTACACTCAACATTTCTCCATATCAATCAAAACAGTACATAATATTAATCACTCATCAGTCACTTGGCAATCAAGATTTCAGACTTCAATAAAATAACTCTTCCTCAAAATTTTCATCTCCACCGAAAAAATTGAAAAGAGTTCTACATCTAAATCAAATTCATATTACTAATAGTCCGCTTGCCAAGAATATCCTTTCTACTCAGCCGCTTCTGGACCTGCACCATCCTTCCACCAACCATACTGAAAGTCTCCTTTTCCCTCAGAAAGAACTGCAGACAACTGTAGTTCATCTGTGTGATCAGATACAAACAGGAGCAAAGAAACACAAACCCACCGGATTGCATCACTCCAGACAAGTAATACAAACAAGTGACCAGCTGGAGCACAACAGCAGTGAGTGCAAAATACACAGCAAATTGAATAAACTTGGTGCTTTTCAAAATCTCCTCGAATGTGGGTATAATTCTACTCTGGAAGTTGTGCAGAGATCTGTAGGACATCAATGCAGCAGAAATGCAGAGTTTAATGGCCAGACGCGGGAGGAATGTGGAAAACAGCATGAATTTCAAGATGGCGATGAAGCGTTCCAGGCTCGCTTGGAGTTTATCATGAGGAGCACGCAGCCAGGTGATGAGAGCTGGTAGGAAGAAGTAGTTCTGCGAGCAGATATACGTGTTGAGTTTCTTGATGCGTTCGATTGAAGCGCTGCGGGAGAGTTTTTTCGAGGTTTTTGTTTGGGTGGAGACATCTTTGGGGTTAAGTTTTGTTGTGGTGGTTGCCGTTGTCATTGTGGTAGTTGTAACCGCCATTTTTTTCTGAAACAAAGCAAAATTTAATTAAAAATTTATTTTAAAAAAAAATTTATTAAAATTTACGTTGTTTTTTAATTTCCGGTTTAAAAACAAATCAAAATAATTATGACGTCAATACAATTTACTTTCCACGTTTTCATTTTCATTTTTTATAGTGTTTTGTTTGAGCTAATTTGTTATTAATCTTGATTTACGTACGTACGCAGATTTTTTCTTTCTTTGGCTTAAATTTCGAATGTTTTTGCGTTGATCAAGTGCGTCAGAACAGTCGAAACTTATAACCGTAAGTAATTAACAATTATTTTGTAATTTAACTTTAGCTTAGTTTAAGTCGTTTTTATGTCTAAATTAGGTTGATTTTTTTATTGTGTTTTTTTTTTGCTTTAATTTGCATGATACTTGTCTACGAGGAATACCTGATGTACGTGTAAGTACTTAATAGTTTAAGTAAGTATAAAATACTATAATTACTTGTGTACAAAACATGATGGTAAACACAGGTTCAGCAGTCGCAGCCACTGCATGACCTTGGCAAGTCACAGATGGACTTGTTTTGTCTTTTAAAGCGATTTTAGGTAGTCTGCATTGATGCATCTTGTCAATACCTATCATTACAAGAATGATTTCTGAGAAAAGACGTTGAGGAATGTTGTAAATATTGTGTTGCGGATATCTGCCGAGTTCTTGGATAATATAAAATTTAGTGAGGAATTTTAATGCCTAGGCAGTAAAGTATTGCGATTAATATTGAATTTTAGAATTAATTTTAATTTTTATGTGTTGCGGAGTGTAGAAATCATGTAAAATAATATTATTTTATTTGATTGTACTAGAAAAATTGTATTTTAATGTCTAGGTTAATAATTAATATTTTAGTGTCAAATGTAATTTAAATATTATTTTGGTCGAATTTAAACCAGTATAATTAATCTACAATGATGAAACCAAATTATAAATGTCGTAACTAATGCTATAAAAGCAAATGTAAGTTTGTTTGTTGGTGACGCTTTCAAATAAAAACTACTGGACCAATTTTGATCAATTTTGGTATAAAAACACTTAGGACCAAGGAAAAAATAATAGGCTACCTTTTACTGCAAAAATATAGCTATAAAGGTGTAAAATAAGGGTTGAAAGTTGATATGAAGATTTAATGAGAAGAATAGTTATATAATTCAACTCTAGATGGCGCTACAGTGCATTATTCGCATTTCACATTACTTTATATTAAAATTAATACTCTTTTTTTCCTATAAATTAATTCAACGCAAGAAAAAACGAAAAAAAATCAATCGGCAATTTTTTTTTTAAATTAAAATCTGCGCTAACAAAATTGCTTGCAAAAGCTAATAGTAATAAATAAAATAAATCATTATTTTCACGTGTGAGACGAATGCCAGCCCGTAATCCATCTTGAGAGGTGACAAGTTCACGACTCAAATCATAACAATATTTATTAACTTGTTACTGTTTGTTACTGTTATTACTACTTACTCTAAAATTGAGAATTGAGTGCCGAGATTACCACTGTTACTGAGCCGGCGAAATTTCAGCGTCAATGTAAAAGTGCGATAAGAGTTAATATAAATATAAACAAATTGAGTATCCATGCGAAAAAATAAAAGCGAATTAAACGAGCGAACGAACAAAACGAATAAAACGAGTTGACTTGTCTTGTGTAACTTGGACTTGCACTTGACTTTGATACGTTGTAAATGCTCGAAAGTTAATGTGAATTAACTATAACTTTATGGCGATGGTTTATCGTCACGGATCATGGGCATTTATGAGAGTTTATGCAATCCGGCGCGAATTTACGAATTATTTATGTGATAAATATAATTCATTCATGTAGACATAATTCTTTACTTCAGGCGTAGTTAAAGATTTGAATTGTTGTAGTTTTTTGTGAATTAAACAAAAACTACTGGAGATATTTTTATAAATTTTAATGTTATATATTTAGAATTAAATTCTGCATTAATTGTGATTATTTTGAATATATTTGCATAATTAAATAAAAAGTTATTAACAAATAAAATCAATATTGTAAACATTTGCGAAACTATTTTTAATTGGCCCATAACTTTTTAAAAATTATTTTCAATAAAAATTTATATTGTTAGTTTTATAATTTAATATTTAATAAATCTTAAAAACAAGCATTAGTTAAAGTTAATTGGTTCGCGTGTAATTAATAAATTTGTATAAGAAACCATGTTTCAAACTCGAGTCCAATAAATACATCGCAAACAAATTTGTTAATAATGTCTTAATTATTTATGCTAGAATTGAAATTATTTAGTAGAAATATTCTCAATTAAATTCTACATCTAATTTTTTGAAGATCTCATGAATCAAATTAATACATAAAAAGTTATTAACAATTTAATTTTCTTCGTTTTTTTGTCACAAAAAAATTTCAAATTTGCAAAAAATAATTTATAACTTTTAAACCAAAAATGCTAGAAATTAATTAGTTACAAAAATTGATACAGAATATAATACTGTATTGATTACTAAAAGAATAATTAATTTACATCAATTAGTTTATCAGTAATTCATAAAAAACTAAAACTTTTCAACTACTTTTTGAGTGTTAACAACACATCAACTATATTGCATCATACAAGCATTAAATGATAAAATTAATCACAGGATTTATTAAATTCATAAAATTAACATTTAACACGATTCATTCCAAAAAATGTAAGTGTCTATTGATGACACACAAAAAAATTCCGACCAAAAACCAATTTTTTAATCAATTCATGACAAATCAATCGTAATTTAATGACTTATACCACCAAAATGTTATATTTCCCATTAACAACTACATTAAAATAAAAAATATAAAAATATTCACCTTAAGTAGACTCTGTTGATAAGTATAAGTAATAATCTCGCTCCTTTTATTTCTTCTCCAAAATCACTTCCAAAAATGTTCAATTTAAATCAAACTATCAATTAAAAACTTAATGTAATTAAAGTTTACGTCGTTGTTTGCTCAATATTTAATATTTAATTAAACGTTGTTGTTTTATGTTTTGAGTAGCGCCGTCTGGATGATGACACGAGTGCATCGACGTACGAACTGATCGCCGGCGCGAAGTTGCCAACCCTTTTTGTATCGGCGATCGGCAATCGGCGTGCGCGCGCGGTGCCAGCCAACATTTGTTGTTGTTAATTGTGATGGATGCGCAATGATACTGAGCGAGTACATGCGGGATGTGCATGCGTTGCACGCGGCGGCCTGCGATTACTGGTCACTGGTCACTGCTCACACAAATTTGGACTTGGATTGTGGACTCGATGCGCCTTAAGCCACACACACTTAGCTAATGTGTTTCGATGTGTTAATGAGCGTGTTGCGGATGTTTTTGTATCGTGTTGATGGTAAGGAATACGTGCATGGAGGCTCGTCTGCTATAATATTTAGTACGTCAGAAGTAAAACAAAAAAAATGTATATAAATACGTTGGATTAGTTTTGGCGATGCGCACGATGTAAACAAATAATTAGGTAAGACTTATTGAGCGTTTTGTGTTGTGCGCAGGCGCGCTAGCGTTATTTTTACCTGCGGCGATAAAAATACTCAAAGAGTCAGCGTTTTTTATTAATAACTCAAAAAGTAATAGACTTATTTGATTGATTTTTTAGGAGTGTCTTCATTATAAAATTTTGAATATAATTTTAAAATATTGTAGTGGTAACATATTTTGATCAAAAGTTATTGATCAATTTGTAACAACTTAATATTTTTTTATTAATGCAACATTAGCATTTATAATTAATAACTCAAAAACTAATAAACTTATTTGATTGATTTTTTCAGGCGTGTATTCAGTATAAAATTCTGAACATAATTTTGAAATATTATAGTGGTAACATGTTTGGATCAAAAGTTAATGATAAATTTGTAACAACTTTTGTATTTTTTGTTAATGCTACATTAGCATTTTTAATTAATAACTCAAAAACTAATAAACTTATTTGATTGATGTTTACAGGCGTGTATTCAGTGTAAAATTCTGAACATAATTTTTAAATATTATAGTGGTAACATTTTTCGATCAAAAGTTATTGATAAATTTGTAACAACTTTATAATTTTTTGTTAATGCAATATCAGAAATTTTAATTAATAACTCAAAAACTAATAATTTTATTTGATCGATTTTTTCAGGCGTGTATTCAGTATAAAATTCAGAACTAAATTTTTAAATATTATAGTGGTAACATGTTTCGACCAAAAGATAAATTTGATAAATTTTTATCATTTTTTAAATTTTTTGTTAAAACAACATCAGTAGTTTTAATTAATAACTCAAAAAGTAATAGACATATTTAATTGATTTATTTGGAAATGTATTTAGTATAAAATTCTGTATATTATTTTAAAATGTAGTACTGATACATGTATTCAATCAGCAGCAATAAACAAAATATTATCGATTTTTATATTTTTTTGATAGAGGCAAACTAATTTGTTTATAACTTTTTTTGCAACAATCCAATCACAAAAATCTTTTTTGCAATTTATTAAGAATTTAATCCTTAACCTATTTTTGAAAGAATTTTATTATTATCTATTATAGTTTTCGAGTTATTAACTAAAAACTATAATTAATCAAACAAAGTTGAATAAAAACCACCTCCAATTTACTTAAATCAACAAATAAAAACACAATGTATTACACAAATCAATTCATTATCTTCTACTCTAAATTTTATACCAATACAATGTATTTAATTAACAAATCAAATCAATTACCAGCCTCATTTCAATTCCGACACGCTGCAATTGCATGCCACGCATAAAAAGTGTAACGCCGATCGATAAATGATAGACATAACTATAACCAAACGGAACTGCGATAAGAAACCCGACAAACACATTCAACATCAAATTATATTCACTGGTGTTGAGTTCTAAGTAAATAAGTTATTAAACGAAATAAGTTATTGCGACATTTTTGGAATGTACACGAGACGAGATGCACTAGAAAGTGTAGAGTATTGAGAGTTATGATAAGAATTCGTCGCCCTTGGCTGGTGCCAGACGGACTTTGCTTACGCATAAAATTTACTCGCTTTTTCGTCTGGTGAGCGGTACATCACCGAAACTTCGCGCACTTTGGACCCGGGGCAACACTCTGGGTCTGTTGGGCTATCTCGGATCGGGCAGACAGGCCTGAAAGTGCATGCGTGTAGTCATGTTCTCGTATATGTAATTATCTGTCATGAAGTGCGTTTAACTGCGATGATATGATGAAGTAAAAAATTATGGTTGACTGAAACGGAAGCGATGGACCAAATTGGTTAATTATGTAGATTTTGTTTTGGTTTTAATCATGGAATTATTCTTATCCCTGTGAAGTAGTTGTTGTAGCAGTGGTTTTTCTTTCATGTTTTTTTTTTTGATTTTTTTATTGTTTTTTTTTTTATTATTTTTTGACTTTTTCCTTTTTATTTTGGATCTCAAATCAAACTTTGTACCACATATCAATAATTTTGGTGCTAAATTAATTATTAATTGACTGAATTTAATTCAATTTTGGTATTAAGATAAATTAAATAGCTAAATTGATATAAAATTTGTCATAATACATTAAGCGCACGTTTCAAGTGATAAACAAATGGAAATTATAAAGAAAAATATTGAATCACAGTTTGTTAAATATCATTTGGTAATTTTATACTTTTTATAATTTTTAATAAAAAATATGTTTAAAAAAGACAATTTACAAAAAAAAAATCTTTGCGCCAATTTTTGCTGTTAAAACATAAAAACACGGAAAAATCTTAAATTTTTTGAAAACTTCTATTTTGGAAATTAACTAATTTTAAAATTTTCATAAAATCGGAGATTAATCAAAACTTTAAAAGTCAAATATAAATTAAGATTTTATTTTTCTGTTCTTACATGAAGTATCACCATCACAATTTTTATTTTTATTTTTATTATTTTATTTTTTTATTAAACCACAATTATAATTCATTAATCACTGAATTACTTCGTAGTCCACTTTAGCGATACGATATGTTTTAATTTTTAAACTTTGTTGCAATTTTTTTCGATAACTGTAATTTCTGGTAATTTCCTGATGGCGTGTTATTTTTTGCGAGTACAAAGTTCACTTTGCAAAATCGCGATGGCACCAAGCAAGCAAGATTGAACTAAGTATAAACTTGTATAAACTTTCCAGTTTTGAATGGCATTGATGGCCGTTAATTAATTTATATCTTCCCTCATCGTTTAAACTTAAAAATTACATCATTCATTTATTGATAAGGCACCACATTTTAAGTTTAATATTTTAATTGGTTTTAATTTTGTTTTTGAATATTTTTGGATTCAGGAGTTCACAAAGTTCAAAAACAAGAAACCTCGAAAATTTCGAGTGTTTATTAAATCGTAATTGGTTCTATCATTGAATTTACATGATTATTTATGTGTTCAAAACCAGATATGTCAGTTTTCTTTTCCAATATTTCAATTTCTTTGCACTTTTTTGAAGAAATGTGTTTTATGATTAGCATGAACCCGTTCAGTTCAGTTAAAATACATATTCTCATGAAACTCAATAGTTTAAAGTCCTTTAAAGTTTAAGAAATGCCAATGCTGCATATTTTTATAATAGACTAACCTATAACCAGCATTAGGTTTCATGTTTCTTCCGTCACTTTTTGTGTTTCATTGTCTTGAATATAGAAGACATACAATTACAAGTTCATTTCTAACAATACATGAGTGTTAATACAATTAACTCCTACTTATGCCCAGTTATTATATTTATTTTACTTCCGTTATTTCTTTCTTTTTTATTTTGATACAGATATTTTCAGTTGAAAGACCTTTTAACTAATTAATACCTAATATAAATAATGAATATAATTATTGATAGGTATAAATTTATATACTTTTATATCCTTTAGCCCTTTAAACTTATACATATTAAAATCTTTGTTTGTTTGTTACGCTTTTACGTTGAAACTACTTAACCGATCATCATAAAGTTTTGTATGCATATTCCTAAGAGTATTACTAAGAACATAGGATACTTTATATTAAAAAAAAAATTATTCAAAAAGTTAAATAAATAAAATTTGACAAAAATAAATTGACCAATAGAAAGTCGCAGTATTTATAAAAGAATTACTTTGTCAATTTAGACATATAAACTGAAAGTTATAATAAGGGATGTGACGCAGTCCATAATAGTATATTATGTATCAATGGCAAATGGCTAAACGGGAGTTTTTGTCACGAGAGTGATTAAAAGCGAGCGTGGCGGGTATTTATTCAATCAAGTGTTTAACACAGTTTAGTCTCGTCGTTGCTTACACTATTTTATTCTACTTCCACCATATTTAAAGTACTTTAGTCACGGCCTTGGCCGTCCATGTTTAAAATACCACTTTTTTGTATAAAAATCGTGAAAAAAAACTAGAAAAAGCAAAAAAACAGTGCATTAATAACATACGGCACTTTTTTGTATTAAAAATTACGCGGGCGAAATGTATTTATATATATTTGCAAATAATATAAATACTCGTATCTTAGTTTTGGTTTAGTCATTATTTACCGAATAAAATTATAATATACGCACGCGTTTCGTAGTTATACCGTAAGTCAAACGATGAGTAATTTATTCCGATTGATACTATTTTTGTAAATGAAGTAAATATGTTTGTGTGAGTTGTGTGAATGTTGCTTAATGTGTTATCAATAAGCCAGTACGAAAAAGTGTAGATAACCGTAATCGCTGCTCATTGCAGTAATATAAAATAAAATTACAAAAATAACAGCGAGTAAGATAGATTAATCTGTTAAAACGAATGCTGCTGGACTGTTGCCAAAACAAATTTCTTTCGAGGTTTTCTCTAATCGTTGCTGTGCTCAATTACACTTTATATTATTATACTCGTAAATTAAATAAAGTAATATAATAAAATTTCCATTTTTGGGGGAAAAATTGTATGTATTTATAAATTGTATAAAAATTAAGAGCATTTGTTATTAAAAACCGGTCCACATTCAGTTTTATTAAGCGTTGGATATTATATCTTTGTCCTAATTAACTGTGCCTGTGTTTGATGTTTGTAACGCTTTCACGCAAAAAGTACTCAGCTAATATTGATTAATTTTGGTATAGGAATATTTTTGGTATTGGAAAATAAAATACGCTACTTTTTGTTGCAGAAATATATCTAAAAGGGCAAAAAATAAAGGTTAAAATTTTACATATAAATTTAAATAGTTTTAGTTGTATAATTCAAACCTAGATGGCTTCAAAGTGAATTTTTGGCATTTTTTATTTGTTTTGAATAAAAGGTAATAAACCTACTCTTTACTGAAATAAAGTCACCGGCAAAACTTAATATATAGGAATATAGAATAATGGCGGTGTTACGATCTTTGTAACTCAATGTACAATTCATTTCCAGGGTAAAAACTTAATATTGCGCAATTACTTTATTTTATATTACGAATATCTTTACCTAGCGTAATTATATAACTTAATTGCACATCAAAAAAATTACCAATTTTACAATTACAATTTTTTTATGATAAATAATTTAAAATCAAAAAAAGTCCATGTTTATTATTCATGGAGTCTGCGTGTATCTTTACAACTTGTTGATTGTTTATTGTAAAAGTTGACCATGCACACTCAGCGCAAAGTATTATTAGTAAATCTGTTTGTCTAATCGGTAATATAGATACACATAAAATAAACTAGCGTAAAAAACAAGATGTTATTAATTATTTGGCATTTCGCGAATAAATAGTAATCAATCTTTATCTGATGAGCATGTTTTGATCCTGTTCGTCCAGCGCATAGAAAAACTTATCATCGTCAGTGTTTTCCTAAAATTAGAGAAAATAAAATATAAACACAACGTGCCGCTACAAAACGTGTCATTAATTTTTTTAAATGTAGTAAATTTATAAATAATGGCTTGTAATAAATTCATTTTGAAATCATTTTGTTAGTTTTGATCCAGAAAATATTTATACGGAGATTATATAAAAAGTAAACATGTTAGAAAAGTCAAATATTATTAATACTATAAGTTATGATTGATTTGTAATAAATTGAAGCACGTGTAGTGTAAAAATTGTGGTTGTGATGTAAAATAAACAGAAATTGAACTGACTTCAAAAAAACAATCACAACTTTCAAAAGTAGCTTTTTAACATGCATTTCTTAAACATATCCTGTCTTCCAAAACTACTATTACCATTTTTAATGAAAATTAAGGTTAATATTTTTATTTTAAAAAAGTTAGAATCCCTTCCGACTTGGTACACGATTGAGTGGGATATAACACGTTTCCGTCCTACTGATTGCACAGATATCTGCGCCATGTTCTTTCCCCCACTACTATTTGCGGGTTGGCTCTGTCGTGCCTGAGCAGTTACGTAGAACAGTCGCAGGTTAGCAAATTAGCAAGAATTCTAATTCTTAGAAAACAAGGCAAAAAAACGTTTTTCGTGCATTGCGAGTGTTTAAAGCACAAAATATCCCTTTTAAGGAAAAAAACTAAGGTATAACACTGTACACAGTTTAAATATCAGGTCGGTCCCAAATTAAAACCAAAATGCAGACTTTTCAAAATTCTCCTACAAACAAAAACACATGGTTACTTACTTCTGCAGTAGATTTCTCCCAAAAACATTGAATAAACTGAAAAGCCCTCTCGCACTTATTCATCTCTTCTAAAGCTGTGCATCCATACATAATATGGTTCATCGCCTTCGTACCAATACTTCCAGTTTCTGCCAAATTGTGATGAATCGTATTCAATTCAAAACCACCGATTTCATCCATCCACCCATAATGTTTAAACAAGCAATAGAGAAAACACTTGAAATTGCCCAAAGCCACTGTGGACGACGGCAATTTTTTACTTATGAGCACTTCGTTCATTATACCTTTAAAAAATAGTACATTTTAATGGTTTTTAATCAATAAAAAGCTTTTGCGATGATAAGATATTAAAAGTATTACTTTGTTCATTTTTAAATAAATAAATATGTAAATAAAATTTAAATGTATTCACTACTTACCGTTATTCGACATCAAAATACGTTTTAAAAGGAAAAAGTTAATTTTAGATAAAATTTAAGTTATCTCACGCTCTAATATTTACTTTTAAATTCATGAAAAATCATTGCAAAAAGCAATATTACTTTAATAGGTTAAATTTTTGAATTATTTATATCCTCATTAATAATCTAACCTATAAATATAACCTAAAATAATATATAACCTCAAAATTACAAGCATTAATCGTCCTTTAAAACTTTAAATACAATTACAAGCATTAATCGTCCTTTAAAACTTTAAATACAAACAAACGAACAAAAATGCAAACATAACCTGAAAACCAATAAAATCTGCATTAAATATCCATCTTATAAATTCCCGGAGACTTCTGACTCTGTTATTTTATTTTTAAGACTTTCCTACTCCAAAATATTGATTTTATAATTTCGAATTTAAACAAAAACATATTATTAATACTATTGCAATACAAAAATATTACTTACGCATTGAAATCGGTGCTGTTTTATTACATATCCTGATATACTTCAAATCAGTTTCAAAATCAGCCATGGATACTTGAAAACAAACAGTGCAAAGCACAAAAATAATGGCGAGTTTCCCCACTGTTGCCTCCATGATTGCCGAACAAGTAATGAAGAGTAAAAGGAGTGCAACACATCCTAAAGTAGAAATGATTAAATCATTCTGTGTTAATCATTGTGATGTGCTAAATGCCAAAAAGTATAACGGATGTCGACGAATTCATCACAAATCAACCGCGCCAAGAGAAAAGAGTTCATCTCGTCTGACGTGGGTGGCAGATAGTCAAATATTATCAAAATTAACCGGAGTTCAAAGAACTCTTATCATTTTCACACAATATACCATAACTTAACAAATAAAACCACAACATAACATAACCTACAAAAAATCAATTTAAATATTAATTACAAGTGTTTCTTACCACAATTATTGGACTTTATTCAACTCGCAACATCCTCACGTGTTAAATAAGTTATACATTAAGTTAAACAATTAACTTACAAATTCATGACACGCATTAGTCTAACAAGTTGGAACTTAACCTCAAATGTAAGTTCACATGCCTCATAATTCTTAAAATTAAAACCCAAACTTAATTTACATGAGTTATTTATAAACTATTACCTTTACCACCTTTTCTCTTAAATTTCTTTTTACCCTTAGACCTATGCGTTAACTTCTCAACCATATCCATATCCGTCACATGTGTTTTTGGCATTGGTATGCTAACCTGAGTCACTTGATTCACTTCATTCTCTTGCGGTTTACTTTTTTTAAGAGTCTTCTTGGTTGCATAACCATGAATCTCATGCAGATTAGTTCCGTTAAACTCCACCTCAACATCACCTTTCACCATCTGTCGATACGCCATTTTGGCTGTATTAGATAATTTGCTATCATAATAATATGTTTGACTTAAATTAGACTCTTTGAAAGCTAACATTACATTACCATTCGGTAAAACGGTGTTTTTGGTTAAACCAGATGAAGTACCAATGTATTTATTTACATTCTCATCTAATTGTTGTACTTTTATATCATTAATATCATTTTCGACTTCTGCTTGATAAGTATCTAAACTTTTCTGTGCGGCTTCGACTTCTTCCTGAACGTTTCGAAAGCCTGGATTCGTAATACCACCTTTATTATCTAATTCTAAACTTTTTTCGTAAAATCCCTCATCCTGTGACATCAAATCAAACGCATCGTTATCAAAAATATTTTTACCTTGCAGCGCTAGTTGTTTTTGTATTAAAACATTCGGTATAATACGTTCTTGATTTAAAGACTCATCAATACGCACGGATTTACGCCGTTTCGGACGGTTTTGTGCACTTTTCGGCGTTTGTAAGATCGGTTTCGGATCGGTGGATGATATATTAAGGATCAAATCGTCTGTGATGCCAAAATTATTACTGGGAGTACTACTTACTACTACATCTAAGGATTGATTGATTTGATTGTCACACGGGACCTCTACATCAGTGGACTGACCTTGAGGAGAGAGACTTTTGCGTTTTTTATGTTTAGCTGGAGATGATTCTATACTCACAACTTCTTTCTTCTTTTTCTTCTTGATTGGTGATGGTTGTTCTTCGATTTCTTCAATTGTGAATGATTCCTCTTCGGGTTTGGATTTTTTCTTCTTCTTTTTGGGAATGTCATCAAAAACAGGGTTTTCTATACCTTCATCAATCGATTTGTCTTTCTTTTTCTTCTTCTTTTTGTCTTTAACAACAACTTCATAAGGATTCACTGGTGTTTCTAGGTTATCTATTGTTTCATTTAAACTTTCATTAAAGTTTGGATTTTCTAAACCTTCTTCAACCAAGGATCTTTTCTTCTTTTTCTTTTTTAGTTTTGGTTCAACTACTACTTCATAAGGATTAACTTCTGCTTCATTTGATGATGGTTTTGCATCATTTTCAATTGATTCATTAAAATTAGGATTTTCTAATCCTACATCTGACTTTTTCTTCTTTTTCTTGATTTTCTTGACTTCAACTTCCACATTTTCTTCTCCTGCAGCTTCTTCTTTGTTCTTTTTACTCTTTTTCGACTTTATTTTAACTTCTGTGAATTATCTTCAACAATATCATCATTTTCATATGAAATATCAAATCCTTGATTACTTTCTCCATCATATTTCTGTATTTTCTTCTTACTAGCATTGTCATCTTCACTATTTTTGCGTTTTCGTTTCTTTTCTTTCTTTTCGTCAGTTTGTGATGATGCAACAAAACCAAAACCATTTGTTTGTGGTTCTGCTTCATCTTTATCATCATTCACATTGTTATTGCTTGAAAACCCAAACCCAAATGATGGCCTTGCATCTAAATCATCTTCATCATCATTTTGATCTTCACTTTTTGATTTATATCCATTGGCAAATGGAAATTTAAACTGATTCATCTTCTTTTTGAAGTAGTCTGCCATTGATCCACCTTGTAATGTCTCCACACCAAAACTCTTCTGTGCTGTTGTACTATCATTACTTTCTTCTGATGATTTTTCTTCTTCTTTGTGTTTTTCTTCATTGTCGACAGCTGGTTTCTCTAAAGTTTTTCTTCCAAAGATATTTGCTAGATCTTTGCTTGAATATCTAGATAAATCTTTGCCTCTGGTGAATTTTTTGTAGTGTACCCTTGCCCTGGATGATTTTGATTTTAACTCCAATGATTTTCTAGTTGTTTCAGTTGGAATTGTCTGATTCATTCACACTTTCAATATCAACAGGTTGATGACCATCTGATTGTAGGTTTTTGAGTAGTTCACTGAAGTTGTCTTCATGTGCAGTCCACTGGTCATTTCTGTCTTTGAATCCTACACCTTGTTGATCACTTTTGTAGCTGACTTTTATGTGAGAAGTCATTCCATCAAGGTTTGCACCCAGACCTTTGCCAGAAGACCAGCCCATTCTTTCAAGCATTTTTTTACCAAATGTGCCTGAATCTAAAGAAGAAAAGTATTTAAAATTATTATAAAATTGTTTTTGAAGGATAATACATTGACTTTAACATTAAATAATCAAATATTTAAGCGGTTTTAGTTAAATTAAGTTTTGTTAGGTTAAGTTTTACCATTCGCCCATGTGTTGCCATTGGGATTCAAATTATATCGCACTTTACGGCGCGGTTCTGCTAGCATCGACATCTTAGCAACAATCTGAGGTCTGGAAGTAATTTTACATTAATTGTTGATATATTTTCGACAACAATCGATTACTAAAAGGAGCACGTGTTTTCGTTGAAAACCGTTGTAACACCAGGCAGTTAAAATAAATGCAACCCAAAATACACCTAGCAAACACTCAATGTTTATTGTAGATAACTTAATATACACATTGGTTTATTCTAAAGGTAGACACATACTGATTTAAACATATTAAAAACAGATATTGGATCAAATTGAAATGATATTTTATACCAACCTATGTTTTAATTTATAAACAAAACTTGTATTGTCAATTTTGTTACCAAAATTCATATGTAAATGTCATAGACTGTCATAAAATCATGAATCAAATATAATGAACGTTTTAGTGCGGTGAAAATTTCTGTTTTTTTCATGTTTTTTACTGGTTTTGTTTTCTTCATTTCTTTTTGTGCGTATATCAATCATTTCCATGCACACAAACGAGCAATTTTGTCCGGACGCGTTGAAATTTAACAATGACAAGATTGTTAACTATATTTGCGAGCTGAGGCGCCAACGTGACGAAGTCGTGCGCCTTCTTCGCAAACAAGAAGAAGAAAAGGCTGAACTCGGCCTGGAAATGGAACGATTGGCTTATAAAATGAATGTGGTAAGTTAAATCATATTTATTTTACGGAATTAATTAAGTCGCTATTAAATTTGCGTGTTTAGTTGTCTAAAAGCATGGCACAACGTGTAATAACTCGTGATCGTTACAACGAAGCCATAATTGAAGCCGAAGACTACTACACTAAACTTGTAAAATCTTCCGAAGCATTACTCGATGCAGTTAGTAAAGATTTCAATGAATTGTACGAGAGTATGGACAAAAAAGTCGGCCCGGATGTTGGGTAAACTAAAATAACATCAATTCATAACTAAATTCAACTTAAACTAAACTATATATTATTTTTTCTAGTGGTAAAGATGATATATGCAGTAGTACGTCGTTTCTGACAAACAGAACAAAGCAACAATGATTAAAATTCATAATTTATTGTAAAGTTTACAAAAATTTAATAAATTGTGTCCGTGTGTGTATATCCTTAGAATTTTTAATATATGTTACGCGTTAAACACCAAGGTGTATATTGGGTTGCGCATTTTCTAGTAGTGCCGACGCGTCGCTGGCGTCGCTAAACACAAAACGGTCGGCTGTCGCGTTTATCGGTCGTTGCATGGCCGTGCAATCATTGTGTATTCAATTCAACTCGCCTTAATCACCCGGATCAGCACTCATCTGCATAATTATCATTGCTAATCACCGCCGCTATATTGTTGGACATGCATTACGTGCGTCGACGAGTGAAAAAGAAGTGCGCCGCGTGTCGTCTGTGACTTTCGAGCCCCGGACCTGGAGACGCCGCATCATTTGCCCCGCACATTGTGAAAATCGCTAAAAATCAACGGAAAATACCATTCTGCCATTGCAATCGACAGATTCACAATGGTTCGAGGTAAGAGTAATTGTAAATTGTCGATTATAAGTCAGATATGTTTATTTTGAGCAACAATTTGTTTCTGTAATATGAGTCAAGTTGTTTTTGTCGGCCATATTGTTATTGTCTTGCTTTTGTTTTGCTTCTAACCCTACTTTTATTTTTTCATACAATCATTACAATTAGAAAATGATTGATTTAATGTGATATTATGTAATTTCTGCAGCGAGACGAGTACGTGCGGTAGTGGCATGCACACAGAACGATGAATGCTGTTCGCCAAACCCTAAAAGGAAGGATCAGGGCAAAATTCTGCATAATGTCAATCAATCCATCACACAATTCTTTACCGTAAGTTGAAATTTGTTTGATTTTAAAGTAAATTATTACAAATAGAAGTTTAAAATATATTGTTATTATTTCAGGCTGTTAAACCAAGTGAACATCTACCAGAAAACATTCTTTCTGAGGGAAATGACTTGGACGATGATGAAAAAGAAAAATTTAAAGGTAAAGTATTAATTTTCTAAGAGTATTTCATGCATGCAGTAAATTTCGCATTAGTTTTGTACAATTTTCTCTTAAATTTATCAATTTTATGTATTTTTAAATGCTTTAACACTTAAAATGTATAATTCTGTATATTTTTATTTATTAATATAGAAATACCAGATGTTGTCTTAGAAGACTTCAAAGACAACCTACCCTCAACACCACACCGCATTGAATTGCACTACGATAAAGACGAAGTCGCAAAAGAACTAAAACTCAAAAATTTCAACCATGAGAAACAGCAACAGTTACGTGACGAATCGAAATCATTGTTCAAAGAACTCCAATTGCCTTTACTAAGCGACGATATCGAGATTATCGATGAAAAGCCACAGATTATAACCGAGCAGACTGAGGAGGTTCGTAAAGAGCTATGCAGTCTGAACGAAAATGTGAATCAAAACCTGAATCATCAAAGCGAGAATGTAACTGCAACCAATAACAACACAACAGTAACAAAGGCGCGAAGAAGGTGAGTTGAGAAATATAATAGGTATTGTTTATTTGTTGAATGGGTTTTATTACTTTATGTATTTGATAACATTTTTATCTTTTTATTGGTTTGTACACTCATCGATCTTCTTCGGGTTCTCCAGATTGCTCTTCTCCACTTTTTGGTGCTTCAGTTGACACTTCAAAGTTTTCATTGAACAGTTTTTCAGCTAGTTCCTCTGCTAAATGATTTTTTTCATCACCTGATAATCCGGCGAGAACGTAAATAGATTCATAGTCGACTTCTTTTTTAATCGGGACATAATCACCGAAAGTTTTTGGAGATTCAGAGGATTCATCTGTTGATTTTTCTGTTTCCTCTACTTGAGGTTCTTCTTCTTTTTTCTTCTTCTTTTTCCTTTTCTTCATTTTTCTTTTCTTCTGTTTCTGGTGCATCTTCTGCTTGTTCTTTTGAATTCAAAGGCACATCATCTGCTGTTTCTTCCCTGGCTTCATCCCCATCTTGCTCCTCTTCTGCTCCTTCATCTCTGTTGAATTTTTGAAAATCAGCTGGACTGAAATCGGCTTCTGTAGGTTCAGCATCAGGATCATTTTGAAAGAAAGCACTTTTATGCTCACCATTTCCGTTCTCTTCATCATCTGCCTGTCGCCGTACGCGAATAAAACTCCCGTGCGTTTTAAGATGCAGATCGGGCGAAACTAAATCATCGATACTCTCCACATCCTTATTTTTTAGTTTATCACTGAAAAATCACGCCGCTTCTGATGAGGCGCAGATATAGATATAAAATCAGATAAATGCTTTGGTTCCACCTCAACCAGCGCCACAACTCCGAAAATCATCAACCAACGTGTACAATTCATGTTTTCGCACGAAATAAATTCATAAAATGACTTGTACTTGTACTTAAACGTTTTAGAAACAATAGATTAATGATATATTGTGTTTATTTTATGGTTGCAATATAGATTAAACAACAATCAGTCCGCTAATCAGCAAGCGCAGCCGCTGAAAACCAAGAGCGTGGCGAAGAACAATGCCGAAAACAAATCAAACAATCACAAATTGACCGATTTCTTCCCGGTGCGACGCTCCGAGCGCAAAACGAAGAAAACCGTGCTCGAGGAGAAGCAGAAGACGCTCGAGGATAATTTACGCAGCGGGATTGAGAAAGGGCTGAGGGTTTATCACTTTGAAGGCAAAGGGCGTGGAATTGTCGCGATGCGGATGTTCAATCGGGGTGATTTCGTCGTGGAGTATTCCGGCGACCTGATTGACATGCAGGAGGCACGTGGGAGGGAGTTGAAGTACGCTCAGGATCAAAACACAGGATGTTATATGTATTATTTTAAACATAGGAACATACAGTATTGGTAAGTATTTAAAATTAAATTAAAAACGCGTTTAGAAGTTTAGAAATGTCGAAAATATGTTTTAAACAGTAAATTGTGTGATTTTTTGCTTTAAATCGTTGATTTAAGCACAAAATATGTCGTTTTAGTTGAAAATATGATAGAAATCAAAGATGGCGTAGTTTAAGAGTGCTTAAGATTGCTTTAAAACATAGATTTAAGCATAAAAACTGGTGTTTTGGTTCAAAAACGTTGAATTTAAGGTGTTTTTTAATTAAAGAAAGGGGTTATACTGTATTTTGATAAATATTAGTCTCTGGAGTGAAGAAAAACATAATTTTCAAATTTAGAATTAAATCAAGACATTTTTTTGTTATTTTTTGAGGTTAAATTCGTTAGTTTTGCTTTAAAACCCGTTTCTTCCTAGTAAATTTCTTGTTAAAATCTAATTTTGATTGTTTTTGTTTAGTATTGATGCGACTGCTGAAACAGGCCGCCTTGGCCGACTGGTAAATCACTCAAGGAATGGCAATCTCATCACACGCGTGATCGACGTCGACCAAGTACCCCGACTTGTCCTCGTCGCGAAGGACACCATCGAGATTGGTGAAGAAGTCACCTATGACTACGGCGATCGCTCCAAGGAGTCTCTCAGGCATCATCCGTGGCTAGCCTACTAGAAACAATTAGTTTAAATGCACATAGTTTAACTTTGACATTATTTTTTGTACACGATCAAGCATCCGAATAATTCGTACTTTATAAGCGCTAGATGCACGAGACATTTGATGTACATAGAATTTGCTTGTTTAGACAATGTTCGCGCGCAACTAAAACAAATATTTTACATGAAAGTCGTCTGTGTTAGACTGGAAATTATGCCATTGATGTGTGGAGATTATCGTTTTAGTTTGTTGACTGTTGAAAGACTGTTTATTTTGGCCAAAGCGTATGTAAAAAAGAAAGAAATTTCAACTTGAAGTGCTAATCAAATTTGTTACAAGAACGAGCAGACAATGCACACTCTTTAAATAATTCACTTTTGCTAAATATTGTATTAGTTTGTAATTATTACGTTGTACCTTAGTGTGGCTAGATAATTTTTGTTTGTTTTTATTTTGCTGGGTTGTTTTAATGTATTATTTTGACACGTTTACAATAATCACATCATCATTTATTTGATGTGAATATTGACGCAGTACTTGGACATTTTAATCATGCACAAAACTGAGTATTAGTAATAAGGGCGACGACGTGAAGGGGAGTCTAGTGACAGATTTGTAACATCACTGCCATCTTAATCACTACCTGCTGTAGAAAATGTCCTTAAAATTATTATTATTATAACTAGTATATTTACCGCTGAATATTTACAGTTTACTTTATACACTTAAATCTATGTAATTTAATTTTAGATGTTAGTTTTATTTATTCTTCACTGAGTCACTGGTGAATTTTTGGGTTTCACGTTAAACTGATGGAGAGAGAGAGTTGATGTTTAGGGAAAGACTTGTGGGTGTTGATGTTTCGTTGACTTAGAGATATTACATAATGCAAGGCGAAACACTACTTGTAATTGTAAGGAAGTTTTAGTTAAGAACTGTACACTTACGGAATAAAGAGAAAGGAACGCGAACCTCGCTTATAAGATTATGATTGTTGAATTTGATTGAATGTGTATCATTCACTACTGTTAAATTGGGTTAAAAGGGGGTATTCTACTCTAGAGGTTTCAAAAAATCGATTTTTTTTTTTTTGATATTTTCAAAGTTTAACTATTCAAGAATACGTGTACAAGAGGATTTTTCAAAATTTAAATTATTTTCCGAGATATAGCCGTTTTGGTGACACGGCATCCATACTGGTTCGCATTGACGCGAAACTTTAAACGTGTTTTTCTCGAAACTGTATTTTTCGAGACGGTACCCACGATTTCTCAACTTCTACTGAACCGATTTACTTGAAATTTTTACAGAGTCTTCTTTATAGACTTTTCTTTAAGATGAACTACGCTTATCCCCAAATTCCGATTTTAAATATTCCAAAAAAAATCTAGAATATCAAAAAATAAGGGTGAAAAAATCACTATTTTTTCAAACAGTCGCCATTTTGTGAAAAACTTTTTTTTTCACTTGTCCGTAGTTCATATGATTGCGACATTATTCTAGATTAATAATTAATTATTCTAGATTAATTCAGATCACTTGGAGGGCTAAAATCATGGGTACGGTCACCTGCCAATTTTTTGGGACCTCTCACTTCATCACCTGCTGGAATTTAAAATTTTGAACTTTTTTCAGTTTTTATTTTTTTTTTGTATTCTCAAAACATTAATAAATAAGTGTTAAAAAATGGATAGTAAAAATGTTAATTGATTTTTTTTACGGCCTTTCCTTAATTTTTATATTTTTGGGATTATTCTGAATCTTGTCATTTATTACATTAATAGGAATGTATTATTATTAGGATAAACTTTGTCTTAAAAAGGCTTAATTACTTCTTTTTTTGTTTGGTAGGAATGCAAAAGGGAAGCTTCTGGTGCTGGAGCTCCAAGTCCCATCTTTTTGGCAGTTTTAGAAGAATGTTAATGTGGATCAGTCAAGAGCAGAAGGAATAACATAATGTCGGTACGGGTCAGGGTGTAATTATACCAAAGAAGGAGGATACAAAGTAGACAATACTATTAAAACCCTTTTCTCTACATTCCTTGCATCTTCGTAGTTTCTCCTCATCGAACAACAATGGCGGAATAAGTCCTCTTTTCTATACTGCCCATATCAACCTTCTGAAAGGCTTAGATGTGCCTTAAAAATCACCGATTTTTAAAACATCAGTCAACGTTTTGAACATATGGTTGAAATTGCCTTGAAATACCAAAAAAACTTCGAAAAACGTAAACAAACTGTGACGAAAGATTTCAGCCTACTCGAATATTCTGCGCTCCTGATCGACACAGTGTGCTGAGTTGAATTCGTTCGAAAATTCGACGAAACATTTCAACCTCCTTCCACATTCTGCTCTCCTAATACCAACACTCTTTAAATATTGTGTTAGACGGATTAAATAGGTACTTAAGTCGTTAGTTAGGTCATACAGGGTGTTTTCTACAGAATGTTTAAAAAAAATCAGGAAAATCAATGATTTGCAAAATATGTCAGTTTAGTTTTGTATCTTCACCAAAACTGAACGTACATCAAACTAAATACATCTTACAAACACTGTAGTTGAAGATATGAACAGGTTTCATATTAAAAACACTCATCTGCTGGCTTAAAGTGTATATTTTAAAGTCTTGCAAAAAATGTTACGACTAGCTATAAACACATTGTACACTTATAAACTTATCATAATATTGTATGGACAAAAAGCAAACGAAAAAGAATGAAATCAATGAAAAGAAACACGAATAAAGCTACAAAATGTCGAAAAAAAGCAACTAAAATAACGCCAATTGAATGTCGCCAAATATGTCGCATCGTGAACTGAGTAAAATACATAGAATTAAAATAAGACCAATCCAATTCTCTCAAAAGAATCGAAATCGGTTATTGTACAGTACATAAAAAACAAAGTATGGCATATCGATTCACATGATCATGAAAATGATACAAATGTACAACTTTATACAATAAAAACAACAAAAGAAAAAAGAGAAGAAAAAAACCTGATTTGAAATCATATATAAACTAAAACTCGTTCAAGTAAAAAGAGTACTTGGTGTCCTTGGTGTTATTGTCGCATAGTTAATTAGTCGTAATGTCACAATACTGTCCAACATGTGTAAATAATCATATGGCACTTTATGGAATGGTATTTCTATATCGTCCTGCCTCAATCATAGCGCAAAATCATCAAATCGAAACATTCATAAATATATCGTCCAATAAATCTAAGAGAAATGCCTCATGTTCATGTAATTATTGTATGTTTTTGTTTAAGGCACTAGTACTAGAAAGAAACGTGTGCTAGTCAACTTGTACTCAGTGTTTCGATGATCAAAACTTTTCACTTGACTTTCCCACCATCAGGAAGAGATTCAGAAGCGATTCTTTTGTCGTACAAGTAAACGAATCAACTTCTGAAACAATTCCCGCAACAAAAATCGAGTGAAACGATCTCTGATATTGTTTCCTGTTGATATATTCGATATTCAACGCCGGGCGTTTCATTATACATAAATAGTATACGTATCAGTCAAATATTTCTATCAAATAATGTTCAAAAACACGGAAATATATAAATTCTAACCGCTACAATCTAGATAATTTCTCTCTATCATATAATATTATATAAATATTTGATAATCTCAATGCGAACAATGTTCCTTAATAATTTATATGTTTTATTTCGTTTCGAGTGTGTGCGTCAATAAATAATGTACAATCAACTAGAATCTATAAAGCAAAACAAACAAAAAAAAAACACCCTGTGTTATGAATTTTACGAATAAAATAACCTAAAAATAATTGGATAATAGTACGATTTGAAAGATTTAGAGAAATTAAAAATTTCGTGATTAAATCAAAAAACTAAACCAAAAAAAAATAATGTTTTGTACGATGTGTCTTCGAACATGCTTCATGACTTGGTGTGTAGAATATGTGTAGATATAAATTAATGTCTAGGTTATCCTTCTAGGTTATGTACAATTGGATTGCTTCTAGAAGCGAATCATTTTACAACTATGAGGTATACATTCCTCGCTTTCATCATAGTCTGAATATTTTAAATCCACGGATTTCTTGACTCTCTTTAGCGTTAGTTATTGTTTTTCTTCAATTTTAGTTTGAATATCACTCGTTTTATATATTAATTAAATAAGCTATGATTTAAACGTCTAAAAGTTTATACTATGTACAAAGTCTTCGTTATTACTAAGTTTATCCTTCCATGTGTCGATACTTGTGTGCTGACATTTGAGCCAAGCCCAAGACGGCGTACTGACACTGCAAACAATGGTAATGAGTTTGTTTGCCACTGTGTTGACACGTTGTCGATCTGCATTGTTGCGAAGGAGTGAACTTCTCGAAACCAGCGGCTTGGATCGAATCCAGTTTCTGATGCTGTCGTCGATGCGCCACCACTTTGTTTGTGTCAGTGCAGACAAAATCGCATTTGAGACAATGGAAATGCGATGCTTTGTTTTGGGTAGATCCTAGTTTAAAAACAAAACATATTAGAGGTTAAATTATAACATAACCTATTATAAAGTCTATTATTGTTAAAATACTAACCTAAATGAGCTGTATATGCACAATCAGGTCTTCCACAGCTGACATTCGCTCGATACTGCTGGAAATCACCACCCATGAGTGTGTCTAACCTTTCATGACGGGCCGTATGCTGGACAAATCGAGTTTTATCACAGAAGCTGTACCCGCAGTCCATGCGCTGGCAGTGGAAGTGCGTCTGATGCTCACGGTACCCGCAATGTTGATATTGACAGTCTTCGTTGAACCTAAACCTTAGATAACCTTCAGGTACAGGTTCATCCTTTAAAATTCTCATCGAGGATTGAATGCGTGCTTTTTTGGCTTCGGGGGACATATCTTGAGCACCTTCCAAAGCACGTTTATTCAAATTGGCGGCCATTGCAGCCAGGGGACTCATGTTATCACCGTACAAAGGATTCTGCATCATAGCTTGATGTTGGAACATCAACTGTTGGGATGATAACGCCGCAGCTGCAGCGTATGACTGCGGGAGGAACTGCTGTTGTTGCATGAGAGCAAATTGCAGATTAGCTGGGAAGTTACCGAAGTGTTGATAGGCTTCGAATTGTTGTTGAAGGTAACCTCCATTGGAAGGTTCTTCTTTGATTTGTGGAGTTGTAGGATTTTGTAGACTTTGAAGCGGAGCTACTTGAATCTTAGGACTTTTGGAAGCTGTGGGAGGTGGGGAAGGTGTCACATTACGATTGTTGTTATCTTCAGCATGAAACGTTTGACCAGAAAGCACTCCTGTGGAGTGTTTCGCCACGTGGACAACAAGACGATCAATCTCAGAGAAAGCTTGGTTACAAGCATTGCAATGGTAGTGGAACTTCCGCTTGAGTTTACAAAATGGCCGCGAGCAACTCGACTCAGGCCCGTAAAGAGTATTACTCCCGGAGATATCATTAGAATCTATAAACAAACAAATATTTATAAATAAAACAAAAAATTGAAATTAAGTTAGTTTATGTTAAGTTAGGTTATGTTAGCCATGTCATGCAGCGCATAATTAGTCAAGTTAAGTAGTGAGTGTGGGTGCAATATGCGAGACGACGCCATTTTGATGCGGGCGATAAATTACCTGTGCTCTTACTAACGTCGGGCGATTTGCGCTCGTGCACGGTGGCGGGCGCGGGCTGTGCAATGCTCGACAGAGGATAGAAAGTCCCCGAAGCTTTCACCACTAGAAAAACAGAGTGCGACCCTCAGAGTAACATAACCTCAACTCAACACAACACAACGCAAACCTACTCATCACCCAACTTACCGGAAACTTTCTCCTGCGTCTTATCACGATCATCACGCACAATATTCGAGGTGGTAACCATGTCCTCTGCTTCGTTCTTGAATTGTTGTTTGAGATTCTGTTCCTGTTGCTGCATGTCCCACGGTTGATGCACTAAACTATGAAGAGACAACGTAGAATATTTGACGAATGTGTAATTACAATCGCCGCGAGTGCAATGAAAATGGCGCTCCATTTTGTGTTGACAGCTTGCAAGTCTACAATCAGTTCCTTTCTCGAAGAATTCATAACCTTCCAAAATGTCGGGATTATCATGGAAGTCTTTACTATGGGTTACAAGGGTTTCTTCTTTATCAGTGACATACATACAACGATTCTGTACGCAGTGATAATGCATGGAACCCATGTATGGGCACATCATATCCGGACACTTGGAATTCTCAGGGAAAACATCAAATCCTTGCACTTGAAGATTAACACCATCAATGAAACCACTCTTTGGGGATTTGGGACTTGTGGATCTTTCATCCGAATCATCCTCTTTGTTGTTCATGGTAGGTGTTGATGTGGAAGAGGGTTTCGGTAGTTTGAAACTAGTGAAAATCGCCTGTGGGGAATCCATGATATTCTGCCCGGTGTTTTGATAGTCATTGTTCCAGACCTCAATCACACGATTCTTGGGAGGACGTCCGCGTTTCCTTGCGAACATACCATCAATGGAAGTGGTGAGATGGGTCATTGTAAGCGGGTCTTTGGTAAGGGATAACTTCTTCGAATATTCATGCATTTTGTAGTGTTCTAAACGACGGAAAGTCTTGTCTTGAGGGAGGATCACTTCACGGCAGTGTTCCAACGTGCAGTGGTAGTGCTTGTCTTTGGCTTGATATGGACAGGTGGTTGGATCTTCACAAGTCAAAGTGAAGAACATCTCTGTGACCTGTTCCTGTTGATCATGTTGTCTTGCGTGCTCCCTGGCGGCTTCCTTGGAACTAAAACATGAAAATTTTAGGTTAGAATTGTTTAGTTTTTGTAAATAGATAAAACTAACCTGAAAGTCATCTCGCAAAGCTCGCCATTGCAGTGATAATGTTCAGTGTTAACATATTCACATCCACAATTCTCATTCCCACTGTATAACTGACAATATTTCCTCCAAATCTCTTCAGAATGTGTCGCCCAGTTTAAACTAGCCTCATCAAAGTTGCTCTCACCCGCAGTTAGGTCCATAGCACTGTTATCCTCATCATAAGAAATCGGAGAATTCCTCTCACTTAAAGATTCTGAAGTATTCGAACCCATTCCCATGGCGAATGCGTTCATATTAACCGCGTCAAAATCAGAAGGAAAACTTGTACTGCCTGCATCAGACAAACTCTTCATCATGCTCTGCGCTAACTTATACTTTCTGTAAGCTAATTCTGAGTCCTTCCTCTCGTGCTTTCGTTTATGTGAGAACAATTGTCCTGAACTGTGTAGCACGTAGTTACACTGTGGCCGAATGCAGTGAATATGGTTGCATACTTTCGAAAACCTGCACGATTCATAAGGACACGCTTCGTTCTTCATGAACTTCTTGAATCCATCACGACTCAATTGTTCATCCTTGATGTGATAGGTCTTGTGCTTCTCCATGTCGGATTTGTTTTTGAAAGTGTATCGACAATTCGAGCGTCTGCAGTGGAAATGTGTGGTCCTTTGACCAAAGAAGGCGCAATATGCAGCACCGCATTCCTCGGTGGCTCGGAAACGTTGGAATCCCTCTTGGATGATTGCGGAATCCTTGCGATGGTAATTGGCGTGCATTTGGACATCGGATGTGGAGATGTAGACTTTGTCACAACCCTCTTTGATGCAGTGATAGTGTGTTTGTTTCTTGTTGTGTGTGCAACAGTTACCATAGCGGTCCGAGCAATCATCCAGGGGGGAATAACGCATGAAACCATGTTGGAGAGACTCGTCGCGTTTCTTGTGCCATTTAAAATGGCGGATCATTTCTTCCTTCTTCAGAAACACGCGTGAATTGCAATCGAGGCAATGGAAATGCTCGCGGTAGTTTAGTTCCTTGCAGTAGGGACTACCGCATTCCATGGAGGACGAGAATTTCTTCACGTATTTGGAGTAGTCGATTTGGGTCTGGGATTTGGTTAGTAAAGACTGCGAATCACGTTGAGCGTTGAAGGTTTGGGCCATTATTGCTGAAACAAAAAGGGAAAATTTAAAATGGCTGTAAGTATGGTAGCCATGTTGGAATTTGGTCATGTTATATATCATTTTAAAGAGAATTTAATGGACTATAAATTGAAGTAAGTGGTGTAATTGTGGTTATGTTATTTAAATAGTTATAAGGGTTGAAAGATAAAAAATAGTGACTATAAATTAGGAGTATTTCAATAGCGATTTAAACATGGTAGCCATGTTGGATATTGGCGATGTTATATATGAATGGAAAGAGAATTTTATAAGCTACAAAATGGCGCTTGTTTAATAATTGCAGCCATTTTGTTTCAAAAGTTATTTGGATTTAAACGTGGAAAATACATATGAATATTTGTGGTATTTCATTAGCGTTTTAAACATAGTTGCCATGTTGGATTTTGGTGATGTTATATATCACTGGAAAGAGAATTTTATAAGCTACAAAATGGCGCTTGTTTAATAATTGCCGCCATTTTGTTTAAAAAGTTATTTGCATTCAAATGCGAAAAAAAAACATATGAATATTGAAGTATTTCATTAGCGTTTTAAACATGGTAGCCATATTGGATTTTAGTGATGTTATACATCATTTGAAAGAGAATTTCACGAACTACAAATTGAAACTAGTTTTACATTTGTGGTCAGTTTGGTTCAAAAGTTATTAACATTTAAAGTTTAAAAAAATATATATAAATTTTGCAATATTTCTGCAACGTTTTAAACATGGTAGCCATTTTAAATTTTACTGATGTTATACATCATTTGAAAGCAAATTTCATCAGCATTCTCCTAAATAACAATCCAATAAATTATTCTTGATAGCTCAAGATTTATACACCAAAACTCCTAAAAGTGCCAGAACCACTAAAACTGACATTTCTTTGATTTCGCTGCCAATTTTCGCGTATTTCCCAGCTGTTCACCTCTTGGAAACACATAAAACCTCCATGGTAATTAATTCAACTCGAAATTAACGCGTATTGCATTATTACAATACCAAAACCGCTTCGAGTGTCACACATACGCACGCATCTCAAAAGCCGCCTGTTCTGTATCCGCACGTTCGCAGAATGAATGCAAAATAATGCATGCATAAAAAAAGCGCGCGCATTCGCGGAAAATCGGCGAAAACGCACGCCGGTGAAAGGCGCTCAGTAACGACCACGTCAAATCGGCAACGAAACGCCGCCATCACGAGCCGGTGGAAAAGCGCGCGCGCACACGACATTAACTTCTTTGAAAAAGGATCGCGGCGGCGCAAGAGCAGCGAAATATTCGTAATGTGCTTAATAGAAAACCGGCCGCGAGCCCTTTGATGCATCCGATATGGCGCACCCGAACGAAGCACAACAAAAGTGAGCAGAAAACAAAAGAATAGCGAAACAAAACCACAAACACGAACAAAAACTAATTGTATGTAGGTATGCAATACGCAATAGGTACTAGTTCATGTATATATATATAATAGTTTTTTTTTTGTAGTTTGTGTTGTGTGGTGTGTGCATGCTTGTTGCTGGTTTGCTTGGTGGCGCAAACGAAATGCGTAAAAATCCGAGCGGCGTTTATTCGTATTTATATATATTTTAATAGGATTTCTTCAAAGCTGTTTGCGGCGGCCGGACCGAGAGAAATAAAGTGGGCAATAAATGAATTCAGCATAAAAACCATTAAAAACGACCAAGCGACGCCAGCCCAACGGGCTTTGTGTGTGTTTATGCGTATGTGTGACAAGGTGACATTTTCTATTTTTTATTGTTGCGTACCATTGCGAGCAGTTTTACGAGATGATTTTGTTCTGCCCTTAAGTCTTAGCAGTCTGCTTTTTATTTTAAACAAACTATTAGACATAAAACACATTAAAATCGTAATAAGATGAATAAAAAAATTAATCGCTTCCTCGTATTAGTACACGGACGTCTTAAACTCATAAAGATAGATTTTATCATTTCATCAAACATTATATTCACATATTTTCGATCTTTAAGAGTGTAACTGATCATAAAACGTTTGGAGAAGTCTTTTCTCATGTTTTATATTCAATTTTACGTTTTAATGTTTTAATGCACGCCCTCTAAACAAACTTTATTTGCTTTTGTGTGCACCTAAGTTGCGTGTAAGTAAATCCTGTAAAACATTATTAAAAAGTACTTCGGTAACTTAACAGTTACAGTGTGTATAGAATTTTATTTTAAATATAAAATTAATTTTTTAGGTAAATTTTATAGAAAAATATCGAAGTTTTTATGAAGAAAATCAAAATTTTTAAAGTTAGATTTCAAGAAGCTGTAACTTTTTTTTCTGGTGATAATTTTAACACCCTGTAAAAATATATTATTTCGAAATTTAATAACTTAGACGCGTGCCAAATTTTAAACATATTGGATGGGTAATACAAAAACTACGTATTGTTTTTTGGAAAATATGAAGTACGAGGCAAAAAGTAAAAGAAACAACTTTGCCAAGTTTAACATCTTGTAACTCGCTTAATACTAACCACATCCTTTTCATTCAAAAATATGTTTTAATAGACTTTAATAAACTATAGATATGCAAAGAATCAAATCAATACTATAATTATTTTACGAATTATAAGACTTTTTTCAAAACGACACAAATTTCCAATATTTTTTAAAATTGTGTTGACATGTTTTTGAAACAAAAGTTCAACAAGCTGTAACTTTTTGACAAATGACAATTTTAACACTCTGTAAAAAGATATTGTTCCGAAATTTAATATACTATAAGCATGCCAAACTTTAAACATATTGGATTAGTAACTAAAAAATTACGTGTTGTTTTGTAAAAAAAGTAAAAATGTATTAAAGTAAAAAATCAAAGTAAACACTAAGTCAATTTTAACCCCTTGTAACACGCTTAATATTAGACAAATGTTTGTAATTCAAAAATACGTCATACTAAAATTTAATAAACTATAAGTATACAAAAAATCAGGTAAATTGCATAATTATCCTCCGATTGACAAGACATTTTATAACATATTGTCAGAACTGCGCTGTTATTTTAACACTGCACTTCAACAAGCTGTAACTTTTTTCAGACATAAAATTTTCATGATCTGTAGACTACCAAATTTCAACAAAATCAAAGCCGCCATTTTAAAATTACACCGCTTTTTAAACTATAGGTAATATATTCCACCAAATGACACTGTTTCATCTAAAATTATAGATACCAGTAATACTTAACATAACCTATAAACTACCAAAGTTATGTCCGAGTCCGCCATTTTGATTATGCTCAATCAATATGAATAAATTACAGTTTACACAGCGATTTAAAACGATTTCCAGTGTTTTTAATGATTTAAAAAGGTTGGCGTGGCGTTTTAGTGGGATTGTGTCGCGCATCAAGGCCGCGGAATCGAAGCCACGCCTGCCCGCCGTCCGACGGCCGCCCGCCCCCACTTTACGTTAGCCACGCGACGATTTAATCGAAATTCCTACCGCGCGCGGCAGATGTTTACTCGCTTCGCGCTCGATTTTGTTCTCGAGTGAGACTCGAAAATTAATTTCGACTAGCGCACACGTGAACAAACAAAACCACGACCGAAAAGCAAACAAATCGAATTAAAAGCTGAAATTCAAAACGCACTACCAACAACTACTCTACTACATAGATATTTCATAATCAGATTTATTTTTTTAGAAACTTTATTTTTATATTGCGAGATAATAAAAACGAGTTTCGGTGAAAGGGATGCACGCCCCCGAATGCGCCCCTATATTTCAACGTACGGATGGCTGGCGATTGAAGGGGTTGTTGTGTTCCAGTTGAGTTCAATTCAAAAATTTTAAATCTCTATTTTGAGCGCGACATGCCAAAAGGGTATATAGGGTAGCAATCTCATTACGCGTCGCAACAAAAGATGCAAAATGCAATTTTTTACCCGCTGCGTACATCCCCAATTGAATATTTTTTAAAAGGAGCGCGCTGGATGAAACTTTTTGTTTGTCCGCTTGAATTTCGAACGTTTTAAAACGGGGACAAAGGGTTCGAATTTCGAAAAATCTCCAAACACGTGTCCACCAAAAATTTAAGCCTGTATAACGTACACAAGTTTCGTTTAAATCCCTCGGGAGAGACGGGAATTATAAAGAGTTTATCAAAAGATGTTTTGAATCTGAAAGGATTTTACAGTTTTGTTGTGCAAAAAAGTAAGGTAAGTTTAAAACGGTATAACTTTTGATAGGGGCGAGTAATTTTAAATCTGTAAAAAACAATATTTAGGGATTTTAATTTTGTATAAGAAATTGTTATTATAATTGTTATTTCATGATAATTAATTGTTTTATAACGGTTTTTAACTCAAGGAAAATTTAAAACGCTAATATTTTAAAGGAAACTTCAAAGAGCTGTAACTTCTATATATATTAAGATTTGAACACCCTGTAAAAACAAGTCTCTCCAGAATTTAAGTATCAATGTGTGTTATAAATTTGAACAAAATCTAATGAATGAATTTAAAATTATATCCATGTTTTCATGAAAAGGCAAGAAAATACCTCAAATATTAATAATTAATTTTAAGACTCTGTAACCTCATAAATAATAATGGTTCACCTTCGTCATAAAAACATATTGCATTAAAATTTCATAATCTACAAACTCTCGAATTTTTAAACAAATTTCATGCATTGTAATTGCGTTAAAATTGTTTTTAACTATAAGAAAACATGAAAATTGATACAATTTTATATTAAACTTCAACATGGTGTAACTTCTGTATAAATTGCAATTTCTATACCCTGTAAAAACGAAAACCTCCAGAAATTAATTATTTATATCCATACCAAATTTTATCAAAATTTGTTGAACCGATTAAAAACTACAATCAATTTTTCATGAAAAAACATAAAAATACCTAAAAAATTAACAATAAACTTTAACACCCTGTAACTCCCAAAATAATAATCTCCCACCTTTGCACTAAAAACATGTCCTACTAAAATTTCCTCAACAACAAACCCTGAAATTTTCA